ATTAAAAGCATTTCATAAAGTAATATGGATGTCTTAAAAAGCCTTGAGGCAGGGGAAATGGCCAACCTAGGTTTGATCCCCAGCACGGGCCCTTGCATTGAATCACTGGCTGAGAACTGGGAGAGGGGAACCCTGGACCTCATGAGCATGGGGGGTGGGGCGCAGGGGAGACTGCGAAATAGGTTACTGTCACATTGTTACATTGTATTTATTTTTGCCCTAAAGTCCAGCACAGGAAACTACTATTGTGATCTCAGAATTTCATGTGACAAATGGTGCAATGTTTTCAAATACCTGTGATAGATAAGGAGCTGCCTTTGCAATTGGTGGCTCTTGCTTAATGTCTCACTCTCACCCTACCTTAATTAACTGAAGTCCTTCTTTAAGAAGAATGAAACCAGTTTTAACCGAAAGGAGAACTTAGGATCCAGAGCCATGAGATGTCTTGGAATTTAGGCAAAACAAAATAATCTGTTATTTAAGACCCGTTATCGCATGGAAACTTAATTTCCCAGTTTAGTAACGCTGCCCATCTATTTCATTCCTTACCCCCCTGCAAGGGGCTGGAGCAATAGCACAGCGGTAAGGCGTTTGCCTTGCGCTCAGCCAGCCTGGCCGAGCCGGGTTCGATTCCTCCGCCCCTCTCGGAGAGCCCAGCAAGCTGCCGAGAGTATCTTGCCTGCACGGCAAAGCCTGTCAAAGCTACCTGTGATGTATTCGATATGCCAAACACAGTAACAACAAGTCTCAAAATGGAGATGTTACTGGGCCCGCTCGAGCAAAATCGAGGAACAACGGGAGGACAGTGTTGACCCCCTGCAAGGGGTTTTTCCCCACTTAGCCTTTTTTGGCAGAGAGAGGGTAAGAGGCAGTGATACCTGGAGGTCCCTTTCAGCAACCGGGCCTGTTGCTGAAACCTAATTCAGGGCATGCACTTTAATCCTTGACTCTCTCGCCCTGCTCACCCAGCCTTGACTCTGTCTGCTTTTGTGCTTCAGGAAGTAAGTGCCTACAGAGGGTCTAGTTTGTCAGTCTTCCACTGACCAATGTCTAGTGAAAAACCTACTCTGAAATAGAGGCAGTCCTTGTCTCTGCAGATGCAAACAATGACTCAAGAAATTTAAAAAAAGGAAAAGGAAAAAGAAATCCAGGAAAGTCTCAATCACAGAGTAACAGCAGCTGAGGGAAAAATTAGTGAACCCCAAGACAAGATGCAGGAAACCTAGAAAACAACAGGATGTGGGGAAAATTCTGAGCACACCAGAGAACTATGGGATAAGATCAGGAAAAAACGATCTAACAACCCCTGGAGGGGCTGGAACAGTAGAAGGGGCTTATGCATTGCACATAGCCAACCCAAATTCAGTCCCCAGCACCATGTGTGGTCCCCCAAGCACCGCCAGGAGTGATCCCTGAGTGCGAAGCTAGGAATACGCCCTGAACACTGCCAGGTGTGGCCCAAAAAAGAAAAATTAATAATAATAACTAGAGTCCCTGGAGAATAGGAAGATAGGAAGGTGAATTCAACAAAGAACCACTAGTCAAAGAAATCAGAGATAAGAATTTTCCAGACTTGAGAAGTGTTGCACCCAGATTTAAGATCCCCAAATTTCCCAAACTAAAATAGATGTCAATAGAAAAACTCCAAGACATGTTGTAATCACAATGGCAGAAGCCAGAGCCAGGGACGAAAACAGCAAGATCAAAGAAGAAATTTAACAAACAAAGGAATTCCCTAAAGAAATACAACAGATTTATCAAGTGAGACTCTACAGGCCAGAAGAGAATGGTGGCATCTAGTTTTTGTCTTGTTTCTAACCTTTAAGCGAAATGAACACCCCATCAGAAATGCTCTACCCAACTAGATTATCATTCAGATTTGAAGGAATGATGCAAAGTGTCATGGACAAGACACATCGGAGACAGTTCCTGCTCTTGAAACCAGCTTTGCAAGAAACACCAAAGGTCTTTTAAAGACACAACAGGCTTCCCAGCACTTCTCCATTATGTATGGCATTCCCTCATGACACAGTTTCCCTCCACTAGATTAAGGAAGGTCTGTTCCGAACATGATTGCCACTCAATGCCTCTTTTGCAAACCACAGCACCCAAAAGGAGAGAGAGAACAAAAGGGAATGCCCTGCCACAGAGGCAGGGTGGGATGGGGGAGATGGGGGGTGGGAGGGATACTGGGATTCGTGGTGGTGGGAAATGGGCACTGGTGGAGGGATGGGTATTTGATCATCGTATAATTGAAACCCAAGTACAAAAATTTGTAAGTCTACAACTGTATCTCATGGTGTTTCACTAATAAAAAAAAAGTCTGTTTACTTCTGGCTTGCTCAGGGTTTTATACTCTTTAAATAATTAATGTTTCATTTATTTTGAATGTTCTTTCTATGTCTATACAAGTATGGGTTTTATGTCTATAGGGTTTTGTGTTTTACTTATTAGATGCAGATTCTTAAGCATTATCTTTAATATAATATTTTCTAACTTAAAGCCAACATTGCCTTTAAGGGTAAAAAACTTTTATACTTTTAGAGGCCTATTCATTTTTTTCTTTTAAACTTTTTAAATTCATCTCACTCCTGTGAAATCATATGTAGGATTTTATCTATTTCATGTATATTTTAAAATGCATTAGCAGAAACTTATACAGTTTTTAAAATGTATGTTATCTATAAGAAAAAGTTATTTTTTTGAAAAAAGTAATTTTATCAACTTACCATAAGGTCTCTCTCAAATGTAAGACATAAACATAGTAAGGGAACAACCAACAGCCAAAGGCAACAGAATTAGAAGTTTTGTCTAGAAGACTTCGTGTGCAGGGAGTGGGCGGTGGATAGAAGTCTTCAGGATATGGGTGAGGCAGCGGGCCCTCTGGTGATGGGTGCGGTATCAAAATGATATATGCTTAGAAAGTTTTGTAAGTCCAGCAACTCAATAAAATGCAGTGAGTTTTGGTGGGGGGGGGGGGGGTTGGACAGTGGCTAAGAAGAAAAATGAAGACTGACAAATAGTCACAAAACTGTGTTAAAAAGGTCTACCACAAAAGTCAGCTTTCTCTCGGTGGTCACAATTTTATTTTTTATTTTTTGGTTTTTGGGCCACACCCAGCAGTGCTCAGGGCTTACTCCTGGCTCTGCACTCAGGGTCAGTCCTGACAGGGCTCGGGGGACAATAAAGGGAGCCTGGGATTGAACTCGGATCTGCCGTGTGCAAGGCAAGTGCCTCCTGTGCTATTGATCTGGCCCTGCTGATCACACTTTAGCTCTGAGAAGGTGAATCAGGAGTGCAGCAGAGTGATTGAAAATGCAGGTACAGTCTCCTTACGGCAAGCTCTGCCAAGAAATTCCGAGATTTGGAACTCAGTAAAGAAGAGCTAGTAAATGAAGATATGCTAGTAGTACATTACACTTGTAACCCGTTCGGTAGTTTTTTGTTTCTTTTTCTGTTTTGCTTTTTGGGTCACACCCAGTGATGCACAGAGGTTACTCCTGGTTCATGCACTCAGGAATTACTCCTGGCAGTGCTCAGGGGACCATATAGGATGTTCGGAATCAAACCCCGGTTGGCCGCATGCAAGGCAAACGCCCTACCCGCTGTGCTATTGCTCCAGTCCCTACAACCCATTGGGTAGTTTTTAAAGCATGTCTTTCCTGTCATCCCACTTACTTTGTCACAGTGCACAGTGTGTAGAAGGCAGGTGAGAAAACTAAGCCCTTCAAAGGTTGAAGTGACTTGCTCTGACTTACACTGTGTGAAGTGACTGAGCTGAGACTTGAACTCCACAGGCCATCCTGTCTTTCCTTATCCAGGGATAATAGACATGCGGAAGTTCTCCATCCTGGAAGCTTCATGATTTGGAGGGCCTCTACAACGCCTAATTATTTTCTAGGGTCCTTGGGACATTAAACTGTACATTTTCAGAATAACTCATAAAAATCTTTTGACAACAAAAAAAAGGAGTAACAAGGTTGAGGCAGGGAAGTGGGGTTTTAAAAAACACAAGGGGCAACAGAATACTAGGGTCATGAAACGTAGGTTGAGCTTGTGCACTAAATGGATTTAGTTTTATTTGCATTTAATCACAGTGGTAACATGCAGTGTAAATCAGTATATAATTTATTCCAGTACACATAATTGGCACGTTAGCACATTGTTTCTGTGTTGTTTTCTAGCAGGTTGCTGATCGGTATCTGTTACGCCTTAAAGTTTTTTTAGTGTCCTAGAAAAAAACTAATTTCATATGTATTGATAAATAGGCTCTTCTCTGTTAAGAGCGATTTTCCATGATGGAATGTCTTCTTGGCCCTTGTGGCTCTGAAAACTGCTCGGCACATTTAAATCCAGGAGCGCATATAATGTAACCTCTGTGTTAGACGAAGGGTCAGCCTTTGAAATTTACCTCTTCTCCTGCCTCAAGTCATCAAGCACTGAAACAGGACAAGGAAGCCAGTCTTTCTGGCCACTTTCTGTGTGGAATGTTAGAAGTGGTGGGACCCTGCAAGCGTCAGGCAGTCATTACAGGGTCACATGGGAGCCACCACGGGCGGGTTACGACTCATTTCTTCAACTTGTGCCAATGTAGCTCGGATTGTGCTGCTGAGTTTTGGAACAACAGACCCTCCCTTTTCTTGCTTTGGGGAATCTCTTGAGTAGAAACTTAACTGTGCCATAGGATATGACAGTTGTACAGTTCCGGGTGGGGTGGGGGTGGGGGAGTGTTGCTTGCCGGGAACTAGGAGGAAATCAAACAACTCATTTCTTTAAGCAGCCTGAATAGAGGATCTGCGCCCCGGGATCTGGAGGGGAGAAGGCAGTATTCTGCAGTCCACTTGGATTCGTTTTGCCCACTCAGTGGCAGTGTGGGTATACACTCTGGCTCTCTTACAGCCAGACTAGAGATTCTCAAAATCATTACAGTTAAAATATTTCTGTGGCTTTCTATCCTTGAAATAGCTCTGCCATTTAATTCATTCTTATGTTTGTTCCAGAGAAAACAGCAGCCACCAACATAGATGAAGTACAGAAGTCGGATGTCTCATCCACAGGGCAGGGGGTCATCGACAAGGATGCGCTGGGGCCCATGATGCTTGAGGTAGAAAATGCTTGTTTTGGTTCTGGATGTTGCACTGTTTTTCACACTGTATTTTACGTTGTGACAATGAATGTTCAGGTATAGAACGACCAGTATGAATCTAAGCATAATCTATACTTGTTATTTTCAGGGTTGAAGTACCACTGACTTTTTCCATTTATCTATGTTCTGATTCCTGAATCTAGAATATCTGCATTTCAGATTAATATTTTAGATAAAATTATCTAGATTAATTCTAATACGGACATGGACAGACTTTCCCTGCCAGTTAATGTCATTTCAGAAAACCATGTGCATAGTTTCATTAAATTCGATTGTAGTATTGTCCCCTGAGCACCACCAGGAGTGGTTCCTGAGCACAAAGCAAGAGTAAGCCCTGAGCACTGCTGGGTGTGGCCAACCCACCCCTCCTCCCTAAGCCCTACCCGCCCCCACATACACAGACCCACAATGAATTCTGTTGGGTTACAATATGGTTTCAAATGCTCCCAAGTGTTTTTTTTTATTTTATTTTGCTTTTTGGGTCATACCCAGCAATGCACAAGGGTTCCTCCTGGCTCTCTACTCAGGAATTATTCCTGGCAGTGCTCAGGGGACCACGTGGGATGCTGGGAATCGAACCCGGGTTGGCTGCATGCAAGGCAGATGCCCTACCTGCTGTGCTTCATTCCAGCTCTGCTCCCAAAATTCTTAAGCATTGCATATGCCTTATACATTCACATATATGTATATAGGTGTGTGTTAAAATTTGAAGGTGAGAAAGGAAGTTTATTTTTTTATTTGTGCTACTTCAAATTTGTTTTTCTTCCCTTGAAGTTAAAAATGAGCAGTAGGCAGAAGGAGCTTTTCAGATAAGTATCTTAAGTGTAATGATTTTCCTTAACTGCATGTTTTTTGTTAACTTCAGGAAATTTTATGAGCAGACTACTGTCTAAGATTGTAAAGTTCAACTTTCCCGTTTCACTTATACATCAAATATTACTTGGCTGTACCTCATTCAAAATTAAATTAAAATTGAATTAAAATTTAAGATGTAGGCCTTGATAAAATGAGAGGGAAAATGTCAGTGAATATATATTCTGAGACATAAATTTTGTCAATTTTCAGGATAACTTTGTTGGTAATGACAGTAAGTTGAAAAGTGCTGCATATTCAGGAACTGGGCAGCATTTCATTGTAAAATGAGTTAACTTGGGACTGGAGCAATAGCACAGCAGGTAGGGCGTTTGCTTGCACGCAGCCGACCCGGGTTTGATTCCCAGCATCCCATATGGTCCCCTGAGCACCACCAGGAGTAATTGCTGAGTGTGCATGAGCCAGGAGTAGCCCCTGTGCATCGCCGGGTATGACCCAAAAACAAAAACAAACTTACTGAAGCAACTTATATACTATAAATTATATTTATATTTATATCATTATATATTGTATTACATATACTAAACAAAGGCTTATCCTATGTTTAATATGTATAATATGCTAATATATATTATCAATACTTGTAACTTTCCATTGATGGGCATAATAATCTGTATTTTCAGAAAGTCTAATTCTGTGAAAATTTGTCACACAAATGCGAAGCAGGGTACAGAAAATATTTACAGATCTTTAAAGATTGCGTACCCCATTCTTTGTGTACATGACAGAATTTATTCCTAGGGATTGGATCTACTGGCCAAAAGGCTTTGAAAGACCTCCAGATTGACCTTTGCTTATTCCTCTTGAATGCTAGTTTGAAGAGATCCAACTACAGATTTCCTTTGTTTTGTTTGAGTTTTGGGGGTTTTTTGTTTTGTTTTGTTTTGTTTTTGGCACCAGACGCAGCTGTGTTCAGGTCTTACTCTTGGCTCTAGGATCACTCCCAGCAGTGCTGGGAGGTTGGGGGGTCATATTTGGTGCCAGGGATTGAACCAGGGTTGACTATGTAAAAGCACCTTACCCGCTGGACTATCTCTTCAGTCAACTACATTTTTCAAGGGGAAAGCAGAAACGCACTTAACCTGATTTTCCAGCTCAAAAATGCTGTGGAAGGCCAGAGTGTGCTACTTCTGCTTTGGTTCTTAGAAGCAGTTAAAAACCTGGTAACTGGGTGACTTACTGAGAATTAAATGATAGGAAGGAGGTAACTTGCTGTGTGAAAAGAAATTGAATTATAAACAGAACTGATTTGAAAATTGTGTTCTCTAAGTGACTAGAGTTACAAAATTCTCATGTATCTGTGTTTTTCATTATATTGTCAGACTGGGGGAGTGATACTAACATAGGGCAGAAACTCCTAGGAGGAATTTTGAGGCCCAAGACTGACTTTGAGGGGAAGCTTATCCAGGATAGAAGCCAGGTCGCTAGATGTCAGTACATCTCACCTCTTAACGTCAAACCATTTTTTTCCTTCCTATTTCAAAGTAGTCTTCTGAGAATTCCGTGTATTCCGAATTGAGCAAGTACGTACTTGGCAGGAAAATCTTTAATGCTGAATATGTGAGAGAGATAATGTTTGAATCTAGTGACGTAAATTTTGAGTTAAATCTTCATCCCTTTTATGAAAACTTGTTCTCGCTGAGCTGATCCTAGTCATAGATGCACACTCATGCTGACATCATAGCATAGTGGTTGCTAGGCAACAAAGCCAAATGTCGGCTTTTTCATCAGAGCATATCATAGTGAGCTTTAAAAAAAAAAACAAAACAGCATTTTTAAGAGATGAAACAGCTTCATCTTTCAGTTATATTGTGCCACAAATCAGACTTTTTACTGTGGTACAAAGCAGTAGGAACTCCATGAACTATAAATAATGTGATTTTGAAAATGCTGGTTGAATATGTATATAAAACAGTGAGTTTGAAAGGACACTTGGTCCATAGCTAATCAACTGAATGACATCCTGCCCTCCGCCCCCTCCCAGATAACACCTGTGTGTGCGCATTCAGCCCTGGCTCTCAGGCCTGGGCGCCAGCCTGCCCCAAAGGGCCATTTACACAGCCTTGCTGTGCCCTGCATGTTGTTTATGTCATTTTGGAAATCCGGCAGGATATTTAAGAGAAAATGAAAACTGAGTCACGTTTTATGTTTTTAAGAGCTTTTTCACTGGTGCTTTTGGTTAGTTCTAATTCAAGAGATCACTTAGTTTTGTGATGAAAATAGAAAGAAAGATGGACTGTGTTCCAAGTAAACCCAATAAAATAAAAGCCTGTGCACGTGAGGCGGGGGCACGGGCGAGCAGACTAGGAAAAAAAGTAAATATTTTCAGTCCATGTGTGCCCTTCTCTCAGTGCCAGACAAGAGCCGCCGGTGAGTTAATGTATAAGACAGTAGCAGTCATATCTCATGAAGAAGCGGGCCTGAGCTGCACGGAACAGCTGGCCCTGGTTCAAGATCAACTTATGCGTCGATTACAGCCTTTCCCGGCCTCATCTGGTCAGCAAGCCAGGCCATAATGAAAGAGGAGGGAAACCCACTGAAGGCCCCTCCTTGGCGTGGGCAGCACAGTCTTGACGGAACCGAGGGCAGAACGCTCTGTTCTCACGCATGCAGGAGAGCCGTGCTGCCTGGGCACAGAGAGACGCTCTGCCATGCACTGCCGCAGCTCACCAGAGTAACATCATGTGTTTAAGCTTCAGTAATCATCCTCAGTCACTGTTACCGTCTTTATTTCCTGAAATGATCCTAATTTTTCCCCTCTTCTTCCCAAATCTAAATTTGAATGAGAACCAGGAAAGAAGCTCCAAGGTCTCAACTTGTTTCTGCAAATAAGAGACCTGTCCCTAGCACCCTGCAAAAAAAAAAAAAAAGATATTAAGAGATATTAAGTTTGAATGACAAGCAAGAGAGAAGCTACATAGCAATTAAGGATAAATGTTACTGTTATCTGGGGAATTTAAATCTTAATCTAGAGAACAAGTGACACAAGGAGGGCACCATCGAGTTCACTCTTGAGTTTATGATAAACCAAAAGCTAGAGTCCCTTCTGCTGCTCGGGGCAATCTAAATTCAAGGTTCCTGTGAATACCGATTTGTCACATCATAGACACACTTCACAGAGTCCTTCCCAATAGAGAACAAAAAATGAAGGACTGAGGGTTTTGATGATTTTTTTTAAGTGTCTAAAATCATCTTTGACTCTTTTCACTTTAGCCCTGGTATCTTGAAAAGTAGTGGGGCTGGAGCGATAGCACAGCAGGTGGGGCATTTGCCTTGCAGCGGCCAACCCAGGTTCAATTCCCAGCATCCCATACGGTCCCCTGAGCACCACCAGGAATGATCCAGGAGTGATCCCTGAGCATCACCAGGTGTGACCCAAAAAGAAAAAAAAAAAGAAAGAAAAAGAGAAAAGCTGTGAAAATTTCAGAGTTTTTCTTGCTCTTAAACTGAAGGAAAGTTGTCGATTACACCTCCCACCCTTGGATTATGAGAAACTCTTCAGCAAAAATTGTTGCTTTGGTTTGGTAACATAAAAGTTGCTCTTGACTCTGTGGAATAAAACTGTTTCATTCTGAAAATGTAGATAAATACCTATACACTGTGGTTGATAGTAATGATGTCCTGATAAAGTAACAGTTGGTATTTGTCTGTTATTTGTGATCGGAAGCCCTGACCTACGTTCTGTCCCATCTTAAAATGGGATACTTTCACCACGAGAAAATGTGTTGTCAAGGAAAACCGTGAGAGGAGTAGGCTATATCTTTTTCCTGCCTGTGACTTATGTGTCCCTGGAAGGGATTATTCCCTTCGTACCAACTACATGTAGTTTATGTTGCACCCTTGCTAACACTGTTTGTATCTTTTCCTTTAGGCCCTTGATGGGTTCTTCTTTGTAGTGAACCTGGAAGGCAGCGTTGTGTTTGTTTCAGAGAATGTGACACAGTACCTAAGGTATAACCAAGAAGAACTTATGAACAAAAGTGTGTATAGCATCCTGCATGTTGGGGACCACACTGAATTTGTAAAAAACCTGCTGCCAAAGTCTATAGGTAAATGACCGTCTGCTGGGTCTCTCCTCCCTGCATCCCGCTCCCCACCCCGTACACGTTACCTGGGCTTGATGAGGGGGCATAAGGTAGAGCCATCGTGTGTCACCCTGGGGCACAACTAACCCAGTAGTTAGAGATGCTTGCATTAAATATTTGATTTCAGAAGTCATGGAGAAACAGTTATGAGTAGCTACTATCTTGAATGAATGATCACTTGATCCTGTATGTAAAGTACATGGAAGTAATTCAACTCTTCCCATGGAGTTCGGTTGTTATTTTTTGTTGGGAGGGGCCTCCCACGCAGGGGAGGGGCTCCACGTCCCGTGATAATCAACCCCCAGCACAGGGACCAGCAGCACTGGGGGGGGATGGGGGAGCCTTCATGAGCTATTTCCCTAGCCCCCGTTGTGGTGAAGAATCCGGTGAGTTGACTCCCACCCTGTCCAGTGCCAACCAGCCATTTTTTTTCTTTTTCCTTCATGACCATAAAAGAGTCCGTCTGTGGGTTTCTACCACATTCTAAAATCAAAATGTTCAGGATCATGTGGCATGTGCAGGGTTCAGATGCCCTTGGCCTGGGATTCCTCAAAGGGCTCTCTGCTTTCGCCACCTCTGAGCGGCTCCCTTGAGGTCACTGTCAGAAGCTGCCCCCTCCCAATGTCAGCTTTCCTGATGTCTTCAACCTCTCTGGAGCTGCTGTCCCCCAGTGTGCGAAGGACCACACTTCAAAGGGGGTGATTCACAGCGGGGGCCCACCTTAGTTGCTGCTCAGAGTATTGCTGTTGCCACTTACTAATGGTTCTTTTTTTAATATTCTCACTTAAACTGATGATGCTAGGAACAGCTTCACTGATAAAAAGAAGTGAATATTTTAGTACAAAATAAGGTCAGGTCCTGAGTTTGCAAGTATTTCAGTTCTTGAAACGGTGTATGTTAACTATTTTTATTATAAGACAGTGGTAAATAGGAAAAGTTCTTTTCCACTTCCATGACAGCTAGCTTTTCTGTGACATACCCTTTTTTCAAGGTGACCGGAACAGGGCTGGGGCAATAATACAGCGGGTAGGGCCAGGAGTAACCCCCATTCATCGCCGGTATGACCCGAAAAGCAAAATCAAAAAAAAAGTGACCGGAAACGTTAAACAAAATATGAGTATTTGCCAAGACTCATATTTCTAGTAAATAACCAAGAAAATGTGATTTCTTTTCAGTAATATTTTCAAATCTCTTCAATAATTGTATGATTTCCTTAAAGAACAATCTCACTCATTCACTGTTAATTCCCTGTCTAGAGAGCCTTTTGCCCTTAACGTTGCACCGTTTTCTACTTCCAAATTACTTATCAATCCAAGTTAGTAAGAGCTTTTTTCTTTTATCTTTTATTATTCTCTGTTGTCTGCATTCTGTAAGTTCGCTTTTAAGAATGTCACTGGTAAAATAAACTTCCCAATTGTCTGCATAGATATATAAACTGTAGTTCATTGCATAATTTTACAGCAAGTTGCTTACTTTCTTTTTCTGTCTCTTGTTTAAATTCCCTGCAGCACAGTAGCTGTGGTTTTAGCATTTCAAACCCACAGCCACTGAGTTCACCTTCTAAGTATTTTCTGACTAGGGTGAGTGATCACTTGATCATTCCGTATTTCCTAACTTGGGTGTTTCAGGCACTCCCACAGGGCTGGAAGCTCCCTTTTTCCTGGCCCTTCTTTTTTTGTCCCACTGGCCCTGATATTCTTCAGATGAGAAACAGAAGGAACAATAAAAGAAAAGAATACCAAAATGAGAACAAGTTTTGGTTTTGATTCCAGCTCTCCTAGCAGTTAAACATTTTTTTGGCCATTACTTTTCTTATGTGTAGCATTGTTCTCCTGTTGTTCATTGAGTTGCTCAAGCGGGCCCAGTAGTGTCTCCATTGTGAGACTTGTTACTGTGTTTGGCATATCAAACACGTCACGGGTAGCTTGCCAGGCTTTGCCTGCGGGCGAAATACTCTCGGTAGCTTGCCGGGCTCTCTGAGAGGGGCGGAGGAATTGAACCTGGCTAGGCCAGGTCGGCCACGTGCAAGGCAAACACCCTACCGATGTGCTATTGCTCCAGCAGCAGTGTTATATATATAACCCAAATATTTCATGAACTGAGCTTTTAGTTAGTTGATGGCTATATTTTCAAGAGGCAGTACTCCCAATTACAAGTTTAGTGGGAAAAGCTTTACCTTATCAATTCATAAATCACCTTTAATTTTCTTTCTCGCTGATTTCCCTCTAGTGATGTTATATCTTGAATTAATAAAGTATTGATACTAAACTAGAAGATGCATGAAGTAGTTTTTTGACTTAAAAACAGTAAAGACCTAACAGTTTATCATTAAGGATATTTGAATCTTGTTGGGAACAGTTTTAAAAGACAACAGTAGAGTAATTTAGCCATGACCATGATATAGAACATGCAGAATATTTCTGTAAAATTTTAGTAAAGAGGGGCTGGAGTGATAGTGCAGCAGGTAGGGCATTTGCCTTGCACGCGGCCAACCCAGGTTCGAGTCTCAGCATCCCATATGGTCTCCTGAGCACCGCTAGGAGTAATTCCTTAGTGCAAAGCCAGAAGTAACCCCTAAGTATCACTGGGTGGGACCCAAAAAATCAAAAAACTAAAAAATAAAATAAAAATTTTAGTAAAGATCTGAAAAGGGATTTTGTGTGGGGCGATGTGAGAGTTGATGAGAGTAGACAAGAGGTCACCCTGCTTCTAGGATGAAAGGTGGAGGCAGCTGGTCCCTCTGGTAGAGCAGCAGAGGCAGACACCTGCGTGGGAGTGGGTGTGGCTGATGTTATGCAAAGACTTGTACTGGAGAATGAGAAAAGACCTGGTGAGATGGGTAAGGTGGGACTGGCTAGTGAGGTGTTGATTCGCCCTTGAATAACCTTGTTATTTTTTTGTTGGGGGGGGCGCCACACCTAGCTGTGCTGGGGACATTCTCCTATCTGTGTACACAGGTATCACTCCTGGTGCGATCTGGGGGACCAGGGATTAAACTCTGGTTGGACATACGAAGGGGAAGGTCCTAGTCCCCGTACTATTGCACTATTGCTCCAGTGCCTGACCTTTTATTCTTTGCTGCAAGCTGAAGTGTTTTTAAGGGATTGAGTGCATGCTCATGAAGCCCCCCCCCTTATAAAATTTTGAGCAGAGTATGTCATATGTAAAACTGGAATGCAAGTAGATTAACTACATTTTTAAAGAAATCAAAGATAGAAAAAGCAGGAGATTGTTGAATTATAGTATTTTCCCCAGTGTTCAAACATTAGCCGAAGAATACCTTTCCTGTAGACTATAGACCGAACATGATTGCCACTCAATGCCTCTTTTGCAGACCACAACACCCAAAAGGAGAGAGAGAACAAAAGGGAATGCCCTGCCACAGAGGCAGGGGGCATGGGGGTGAAAGGGATACTGGGATCCGTGGTGGTGGGAAATGGGCACTGGTGGAGGGATGGGTATTTGATCATTGTATAATCGAAACCCAAGCACAAAAATTTCTAAGTCTACAACTGTACCTCATGGTGTTTCACTAGTAAAAATTAAAAAAAAAAAAGAATGCCTTTCCTTCTGGATTGTAAAGTTATTTAGGAGACATTATATAAAAGTAAAGGAACCGAATATGGGTGAGGTGGCAGAGGGGTTTAATAAAGGAACCACATATTTCCAGTATCATTTTGATAATTCAGTGGCAGAAACTCTGGTGTTAGTTTTTTTTATAATGTTTCTTTCTTTATAATTTCTTTCTAATACTCTTGCCTTGCTCAGTGAATGGGGGATCGTGGTCTGCCGAGCCCCCGAGGCGGAACAGCCATACCTTCAACTGTCGGATGCTGGTAAAACCTCTTCCTGACTCAGAAGAGGAGAACCATGACAACCAGGAGGGACACCAGAAGTATGAAACTATGCAGTGCTTTGCCGTCTCTCAACCAAAGTCCATCAAAGAAGAAGGAGAAGGTGGGGGAAATGTCACCTGTCTTTTTCTTAATGTCTGTGTATGGATTTCTGTGTGACTTCTTTCACACTTTGTGATCTAGAGCCTCTAGATCACAAATTCTTTTGTGCTCACACAAAAGAAAAAGATAGAGACAGTTTCTTTGATTTTTTTTTCTACCTGTCACTGTCACTGTCCTCCTGTTGTTCATCGATATGCTCGAGCAGGCGCAGTAACATCTCCATCATGAGACTTGTTACTGTGTTTGGCATATGGAGTACGTCACGGGTAGCTTGCCAGGCTCTGCCGTGCGGGTGAGATACTCTCGGTAGCTTGCCAGGCTCTCCGAGAGGGGCGGAGGAATCGAACTCGGGTCGGCCATGTTGACTGTGTGCAAGGCAAACGCCCTACCACTGTGCTATCGCTCCAGCCCCTTTTTCTACCTACTTCACATTTTCCTTATGATAAATGTATTGATTGGGCTTTGGTTTGGGGATATTACCCAGAGGTGCACAGGGCTTACTCCTGACTCTGCTCTCAGGGTTCACTGCATGAGAGTAAACCCCAGTCTGCCACATGCAAGACAGGCACCTTACCTGCTGTACTAGCTCTCCAGCCCCTGTGATAAATTAATCTTTTAGTCTGTAGAACAGCATAAGCCAATAGGTGTTTTTCTGCAATTATCTGTGTTAAATTATCGTCAGTGTTCAACACAGCAGCCACTAGCTACTTGTGGCTATTGAGCATTTGAAATGCCGATAGTTGCACTGTGTGTGGGGGGGGGAGGGGGGGCGAGGAAGGGACAGAATTTTTACTGCATTTACACTTAAACAACCCCTTGGGGATAGGAACTTGCCTAGCAGAGCAGCTCCATTGGTGATTCAACCTTCCAGGTTGAACCTGAGCATCAGTGCAAGTTGTATACTACAGCCCCCGAAAAGTGTTCTGTAAGTAGCATTTTTCATATACATTCAAGGGATTAATGAATTCCATAGCTTCTCTGGGGGTGTTGGGTCCAAAATTTGATGTCATAGAATGGTACTTCAGTACTCGAGAAGTTAAGAGATGGGAGCAGGGAATGAGGGGGTCTAGAGTGTTATTACGTCGGGAGAGTCTCCCCCAGTGGTGCTGGGGTGCCCGGGTGGGAAGGTGCTTTCAGTGTCCAGGATCAAACTCAGGACCTCATACACGCTGGACATGTACTCCAGACCTTTGAACTATCTCCCCTACCCCCAGAGGGTATTTTAAGCCCCCGATGCTAATCCTTAGATGCTTTTGTGCACCCCCCACACCCCCACTCCGTGAGCAAACTATTCCACATGCTATGTTACTCTGAATGAAACAACATTGAAGAATCTTTCACGTGCACAGCAGAAAAGGGAAGACTGAGGCCCACTGGCAAACGGCGGCAGCCTAGGCTTTCCCGGCACTTAGGCCGGCCCGATTCGCCTACTCACAGCAGCTCTGTGACTTTAGGCAAGCTTCTAGACCTCTGAGTGTCAATTTGTTTTCTTTTCAAATGAAGACGGTAAGAGCAAACGTCAGAATCTAGTAAGAAAGTATAATAAATAAGGGGCCGGAGCGATCGGATAGCGAGTACATCATTTGCCTCGCACATGGCCAACCCGGGTTCAATCGCTGGCATCCCATATGGTCTCCCAAACATGGCCAAGAGGAATTCCTGAGCACAGAGCCAGGAGTAATCCCTGAGCATTGCCGGGTATGGCCCAGAAACCAAAAAAAAAAAAAAAAATGTATAGTGAATATGCCTTAACAGTGACTCCTTTAAAAATAAGGGGTTTTTTTTCATCCTTATTCTTTAAAGAAAAAGTGTAATTTTTATTTGAATTTTTATTGGAAAGGAAGTAGCTGTCACAGATGATAGTTTTTCAGAATTAGAATTTTACATAGGTATATGAAGTCTCAAGTGATTTTATTCTCTTATGCAACAGAGTAAGGTAAAGGTAAAGGTAAGGTAAAGGCCCTCCCGTTGATCATCGATTTGCTCGAGCGGGCCCAGTAATGTCTCCATTGGAGACTTTGTTGTTACTGTGTCTGGCATATCGAATACATCACGGGGAGCTTGCCAGGCTCTGCCGTGCGGGCGAGATACTCTCGGTAGCTTGCCGGGCTCTCCGAGAGGGGCGGAGGAATCGAACTCGGGTCGGCCATGTTGGCTGCGTGCAAGGCAAACGCCCTACCGCTCAGTAAAAGGTAAAGGCTCTCCCGTTGATCGTCGATTTGCTCGAGCGGGCCCAGTAACGTCTCCATTGGAGACTTTGTTGTTACTGTGTCTGGCATATCGAATACTCTCGGTAGCTTGCCAGGCTCTCCGAGAGGGGCGGAGGAATCGAACTCGGGTCGGCCATGTTGGCCGCTTGTAAGGCGAACGCCCTACCCACTGTGCTATCGCTCCACCGCTGAGTAAGTGCTGCTAATTTATCTCTGATCATGTTAAAAAATGGAATAAAAAAGATAATAGCCAAGCTTAATCTTTTGTACTGTATACGTAAATGTTTTTTGAATATTTAATATAAGATTCTAGGACCAGGGTTGTAACTCAGTAGCAGAGCATATGATTTGCATGTGTGAGGCCTGCATTCTATCCTTGGTGTCACAATAAAATCAAATATTTAAAAAAATCTGCTTCTGGACATTAACCCAGCCCAGCAGCAGAGTTAGGGTTGGGGCAAGTAGCATTGTGTGCTAACGGAGTTGCAGGTGAGGTTAGTCATGCTTTGGTTTTCTTCTCTATTAAATATGGACAATGCTAGGGCCTGCCTCACCGAGTTGGGCGTGAGTACAGTGGTGACTCACTGGCGGCTTGGAATATGTCTCTGAGTATTCTGCACTTCAGCTTTATTTGTTGTGGAGGAGGATTGCATTTAATTCCATGATCCCTGCTAGTACTCGATATATTCAAAGAAATTATTTCCAAATTTAAGGGTAAACAAAACATAAAGAGACTTCCCTTAGACAACCTTTAGCTAGCTTTTTTTTTTTAATTGAAAGAGCTATGCGCCGTGGCTCTCTCTGTGTTTCAAGGATACTTAAAACATCTCCATGTTCTCCAAAAGTGAACATAAATGCATAAACAAAGTGGGTAAAGGAATAAACAGGAACACTGGTTCTCTGAGAAGCCAGACGTGGTCCAAACTGACCTCTCTGCTGCATTTCCTAGGATTAGTTCTTGGAGGACACACGTTTCAGACCCCATTTACATTCTTGCTTTAAATTGCATACTGCTGGGGCCAGAGCGATCGTGCAGCAGGTAGGGTGTTTGGCTTGCACACAGCTGACCAGGGTTCGATCCCTGGCATCCCGTGTGATCCCCCAAGCACCACCAGGAGGATTTCCTGAGTGCAGAGCCAGGCGTAACCCCTGAGCATCGCTGGGTGGGACCCAGAAAAAAAGCAAAAAATAATTTAAAAAATTAAAAAATAAATTGCCTGCTGCCATTCAGGGCCATCTCTGATTGATTTGGTAGAAGGTGGGTATAGTTTTCCTGTTTCTTGACAGGCCCTCAAGAAATTCAAGAAACAAGCTCTTGGTAGAGTACTGTATTTTAGTTTCTATCATTGTTGTACTTTGTTATGAATTAAGCTAGTCGCTACTCTCAGGCAGCCAGTGAAAAAGATTCTGTTCTTTTTCATCTTTGGGTCGAGTCTAGGGGCGTTCTTCAATCACATGCCTCACGTGGCTGCGGCTCCTGGCCCTCCGCGCCTCCCCCCTCCCACAGAGCACCCCTTCCTCTTCCCCAGCCGCTTCCCACTTGAGAGGACAGCCAGTGAGAAGTAGTCGCTGAGTGCTGCGTCGCTCCTTTGCTCAGTGATTTACAAAGTCGCGCTGTCATAAATACAATGTGGAGTGTGTTTGGCTCACTAAGATCCTGACTCTGCTAAACCTCACTGTATTGATTGCAGATCTGCAGTCCTGCTTGATCTGTGTGGCGAGAAGAGTTCCCATGAAGGAAAGACCAGTTCTCCCCTCTTCAGAAAGTTTCACTACTCGTCAGGATCTCCAAGGTAAATTCTCTTTCCGCTGGAGGGGAAAAAAAAAACAAAAAATCATTTTAGGATCCTGAGGGATTTCATAAGTAGAAGGAGCATGAGACTTTACGAAGCTGGTAGGAGGGACTGTTTCTAGGGGAGAGTTTCTAGGGGCTGGGAGTCTGTAGAGACAGGGACACTCGCAGCCTTGTCTCTGTGTGTATTTTTATTTTCTAAAAATTTTATTATTTCCACCCATGATAGATGGGTCTGTAGGCCTCACACTCGCTGTCGTTTCACAGGGAAGATCACATCCCTAGATACCAGCACCATGAGGGCAGCCATGAAGCCGGGCTGGGAGGACCTGGTGAGGCGGTGCATTCAGAAGTTTCATGCCCAGCACGAAGGGGAATCTGTCTCCTATGCTAAGAGGCATCATCATGAAGGTAACGAGAACTAGACGGTACTTTTCTGGGAGTTGAATTGGCTCAATCTCTTGGCTTCCTGTGGTGCCTTCCTTGTAGCCGTGATTCCTGAAATTCTCCTACCTGAACTTGGTTGCTCTTTGTTTTCATACGTGCTTGCATCATATGACCCAGATGATGTTGCCCTGCGAAGAAAAATTTAACAGAACCTGTAGAACCGAAGATCGTAGTAAAGGAGAAGATAATTTTACAGAGATGGATGAAAGGAAAGGGAGAGAGGTCGTTTTCTTCAATCCTCAAGCTGCTAGGTGTTTAATAATCGAATAAACCTCTGATCTCAAAAAAAAAAAAATACTACATCTGGAAAACTCACAGGAGTGAGTCCGTTCCTAATAGAGGGAGCAGTAGGATCCCAACCCTTCCTGCCAGATGCTGACCTGAGGTCTTCCAGATATCTGCAGGACACTCAGGGAAATGAGGTGACCTGTCTGAAGTCACAAACTAATGGGACATCTGGAACTAAGTCCAAGATTTCAAAGACATAGTCAGTAATAATCGCCACCCTTATTAAGTGTCTGGTCTCTCTTTGGCATTGCCCCTTTTGCATTATCTCATTATTCCTTCCGACATGCCTGGGAAGTGGGTGTTGGGATACTTATGCTGTGGCTCGTGGACATTCTCTTCGTCAGTGCTTGTGCCGGCAGCACCTCCTGGCAGTCCCTGGGCTGCGCTGCTCCCAAAGTTCTTCCCAGGGGTCTCCCCCCAGAATCATCTTCCTCGAGTGCAGTCTGGTCGTTTGCTGAGTTGATGAGAACAAAGGATAAAAGTCTGTTTCTTGGCAGGAGAGAAGCCATGGAGAAGAGCCACTTTGTCCTTCTCCTGGTCCTCTGTTTCTCCTCTAATGGACACTGTACATCCCAGCAAGGAGCAGAGGGTTAAGAGGTGGGGTTTTGGGGGCTGGAGTGATAGCACAGCAGGTAGGACGTTTGCCTTGCACGTGACTGACCTGGGTTCAATTCCCAGCATCCCATATGGTCCCCTGAGCACCGCCAGGGTTAATTCCTGAGTGCAAAAGCCAGGAGTAACCCCTGCGCATCGCTGGGTGTGACCCAAAAAGTAAGAGAGAGAGAGAGAGAGATGGGGTTTGCATGAGGCTTCCCAGAGGATCCCCGCTGCCCCCTCCAGGGAGGGGTTGAGTGCTGCAATGTGCCCCCCAGTCAGCTTGGCAAGTCAGCTGCCTCTGCAGAAAACCTGCTTTTCTCACTATTGAAAATAGAGTTTTAGTTGGTCATCTGCTGTTTAAGGGGTATACCTGACCTTTGTGCTCTTACTGATTGTCTTTTTATGTTTAAACCTTATGTTTTCAACATTACTTAATGTAGTTGAAATCACAATAATAGATTTCTTTGCTATTCTCTTATTTTTCCTCATATTTTTCTTTTCTTCTTTTCTTTTTTTTCCAGCGTAGTCAGTCTTATTTCTTAGGAATAAGCACATAATCTTATGTATCTTTCAGCATTTTTCTTCAGGTTGAAAAACATAAAGATGCCACATTTGGTAGAAACCATTGCTTAACTTATCATTTCACTAGAACTGGTTTAAAATAACAAGAATGATGGCAACAAAGGAATCCCATGATGAAAACTCTCGTTGTTGCAAGAGGGAGGTGGTGGGAGAAATGAGTGAATGTGGGGATCATCACTGGTGGTAAGAAGACATTGGAAGTGTCTTTGGCAGTGGGAGATGTAAAGATTATCCACTTAAAGGTGTGAAGCTGAACTCTGATGTTCAGTAATACCATAAACCAATGACAAGTCCATTTAAGAAACAGGGGGGGAAAATCACTATGAGCAAATATTTTTAGTGTCCTTGGGTCTTGAGTAACAATGTCCTGTATTTAGTTCTCTGGTTTCCTGAATCCTTAGAAAAGGATTTTTGCAGCTATAGCAGACACTATGTTTGCTACAGTGTTATCAAATCAAATCCACAGGAACCTTAAACTCCTCTGCAGATGAAATGTATTTCATTCATTTGTATTAAATAAGTAAGACCTGAGATCATCAGTTACATTACTACAAATCTAGTGGAAGGATTTGTTTAAATGTAAGCACTTCCTAAATGTATTGAAGTACATGCTTGCTTATATCTATGTAGTAGAGATGTTTCATGTAGACCAAATGGAAAGGGAAAATACTCATTGCTCATAAACATGTTCAGATATAAATTTGAGAGTATAAGCCATTGGATATATAAGCCTTACTGTTGACATGTTAGACTCATATTTAATGTGCAAAGCAAGATACACATCTGCATATTAGTTTATTTCCAATGCAGCCATTTCAGAGTAACTTCATACATACAGACATCAGAAAGCAATACCCAAATACTACATGTGAGTGAAACTAAAGGGAGGAAGCTAATTCCATTAAAGAAATTGCTCCATGTGAAATTTTACCAAGAAATCAGAATCAACAGTATTTGTCAATCTGTCTCTGTCTGTCTGTCTGTCTGTCTGTCTGTCTCTCTCTCTCTCTCTCTCTCTCTCTCTCTCTCCCCCTCCCCTCCTCTCTCTCTCTTTCCCAACTCCCTCTCTCTCACTTGTGGCAATTTTGTGGTAGCTGAATGTTCTTGGTTGCTTTGGGGCTTACTGTTCCACCTGCAGGATTTATACTGAGAATTAATGTGGTAGACACAGGGTAGTCCTTCTTAAAATTATTTCAGAAGAAACTGAATTATACAGGTACTGTTCCTCAAAATTAAAATGCCGTGTTTGACAGTTTTGAAGTACAGTTGTCTTTCATTGCTTTCACCCAGCTCTATTGGTCTACAGTACCATAGTTCAGGGGGCTTCATGCTTCATCTGTAGCCACCCTGCTCCCACCGAAGTCCTTGTGCCATCCCAGTGTCAGAACAGCCCCTTCACCAGCTCATCTGCCTCTCCCATCCCTGCCCTCTGCTGATGGCCTGAGGGCCGTTTCCTCAGAGCCTAAGTCACTTCTGTTGTGTTTTGCCTGTTCATGTCCTTTGGTTCTTCATATTCGATGTATAATTGAAACTGCCCGGGCTAGGTCACCTTTCACTTCAGGCTTGTTCTGCTTCTTTCTGTGTTGCCCTGAATGGCCTGACTTCATCTTTAATAGCAGAGTAATATTCCACGGGGTGCTTGTCCCATGGCTTCCCCAGGCTGCCTCTCTCTCTGTTACTGGCCTGTTGCCCTTTGTTGTCTTCGAAAACTTGTATCATGCTCAATCCAATTCATTTTCCCTTCTAAGTGTTTCTGCTCCAGTCTTCTCTTCAGTGGCTCCCACACAGTTTGAATCAGCTTATCTGTATCTAAGTCGGTATTTTTCATGCTGATAACCAAGTCAGTTGTCCTTTTAAAAAATATATACATAAGTAATAGCGTTCATGACTGTGCTTCTGGTGCACAATGATTTGTCAGTTCATTCTCTTGGGGGGTGGAGGTACCATACCTAGCGGTGTCCTCAGGGGCTGCTTCCTGCTCTGCTGGACTGGGGCACCATGTGGTGCTAGGATCAAACCAGTGCCCAGTGTTCACTCTGCTCGCGGAGAGTTTGTGCCCACTCTACCATGCTACCATACGTGCTCTCTATCTGGTGCTCTCTCCTCTCTCTCTCTCCCTCTCTCTTGCTCTCTCGTTCTTTCTCTCTAACTTGCTCCCTCACTTTCTCGATCTCTCTCTCACTGTCTTTCTCTTTCTCTCCCTCACTCTCGCTCTCTCTCTCCCCCCATCCCTCCCTCCTTATTCGCTCCAGACTAAACAGAAATCCTGTGTCCTGTTCATGTTCTGATTCTGTATTCCTATTCAACACCTCATTTGAGGCTTTGTGTTCTTTTGCTTTGTTTTTCTCCAGTGAAAGAACTCTGTTCAACATTTCTCGCCGTACGGGCCGCCACTAACTTTTCTTCACATGGGAAGGCCTTTATTTCTCTATCATGTTTGAGTAATAGTTTTGCAGAGTATTGTTTCAGTCCACTCTCTCCTGGTCGGGAGGTTTTCTGCTGAGAAATCTGATGATGGCCTGCTTGGGTGCCTTTATAAAGGCCCTCCCGTTGTTCATCGATTTGCTCGAGCGGGCCCAGTAACGTCTCCATTGGAGACTTTGTTGTTACTGTGTCTGGCATATCGAATACTCTCGGTAGCTTGCCGGGCTCTCCTAGAGGGGCAGAGGAATCGAACTCGGGTCGGCCATGTTGGCAGCGTGCAAGGCAGACGCCCTACCGCTGTGCTATCGCTCCAGCCCTTTATATGTTATGTTTTTCCCCACAGCAGTCCGAGCTGTTTTCTCTTCCATTGACTTCTGATAGTAACAATGATGTGTCTTGGTGTCTTTTCTCCATTTAGAAATTTGAATGTTCCCTCAGCTTCCTGCACTGCTGTGGTTAGTTCTTTCCTCAGGTTGGGGAATTTCTCAGCTACTATAACTGTGAATAGGCACTTTGTCCCCTTCTCGTCCCGCTTTCTGGTAGACCCATTATCCTTATGTTTACTCTTCTAACAGCATCTGCTAGTTCTGGAAGAACTTTTTCATTTTTCCTCAAGCCTATTTTTCCTCTTTCATTTGAGTCATACTCGGAGTTTATCTTCAATTCCTTCTCTTTCCTCTGTAATATTGACCTGGTTCATTTTTCGCTTCATGGAAGTTTTTCCTCTCATTCATGGGGTTTTTCATATTCAGCTTTTCTGTTTGGGTACTTCAGATCTGTTGTTTAGGCATCCTGATTTACAGTGTGATTAATAATAGTTTTTCACAGACACAGACTGATTCTCTCATGAGGGGGATAAAGAAATATCCTAGGGGAGTAGCAAATGCCAGTGACAACAGAAACTCAGGAGTGGTCTTCAGGAGGAAGCTTACCAGAGGGGCCGGGGCGAACACCAGGACAGTGGTGGAGGGCACTGGACGCTCTGGAGAGTGTGGGCCGGGATGTTTGATACGTGAAACTCAGCTATTAACAGTTTCGTAAACTATAGTGCTTAAATGGGAAAAAAAAAAAAGACCAAGAAACAAAATGAAAATGGTTGAGCCTCAGGCATGCAGTATTCTGACACCAGGCCCACTACCAGCTCGGGCACCCCTCCACGAAGGCGCCCTGCCCATACCCTTCTGAAACCGTATTTTGATGACTTCAGTGTCTTTGCTGAAGAGCGTCCTCTGCTCCTGTGCTTCGTTTCTTAGTGATTCCTCTCTGTGTTAGTGTAGATTTGCTACAGCTCATTGATTTTTCTCCATGATAGTTACATTTAATATATTGTCTGTTAGACTCCCAATTTGCATGTTGTTGAGATTGATTTCTCTCGTGGTACTTGGCTTAGTTAGACAGTTCGGTGAATACCCAGGCCAGCCGGGCACTTCTGCTCCAGGCTGCTGGTGCCAGTGGACCCCAGGGCCGCACGCCCGAGTGCTCAGGGGCGCATTGAGCACTGGGGTCAAATCCTGCCAGACGTGCACTGCAGCCCTCTCAACCGTCTCCTTGTCCCAAGATTGATTTCAGAAGTTTTTACTTTTTTTTTTTAATTGAATCACCATGAGAAAAGTTACAAAGCTTTCAGGTTTAAGTCTTGGTCATGCAGAGATCAAACTCCCATCCCTTCACCAGTGTATATTTTTCACCACCAAGAACCCCTATATACCCCCCTTCCCACCCCTCCCGATGCCTGTGAGACAGATGATTTCTACTTAACTCTCTCTCTACTTTGATTACATTCATTATTTAGACAAAGGATGCACCATTATTATTTGGAATTTCCCCCCAACAATCAGAACTGCTGAAAAGGCATTGTGAAATAATTTGTTTTCTCTTGCTGGTTATGAAGACCATATGATGTTGCTATAGCGGCCGCACGATTTTGGATTTCTGATATTTTACTAATTAAGTCTGGAGGGATTTCTGCCAAAAGCCGGATAATTACGAGATTGACTTGCGTGCCTCTGGGGCCATAGCCGTGCGGGAGAGCTGCTCATGGGGGGCATCTCGTGGCCTCGGCAGTGCGTGAAGGACGTGCCGTTTCCGCCCCCTATCCCAGGAGGCTGCAGTTGCCCGGTCACCGCTGGTTCATACCTGGCTGTCCAATAAGAAGCTTTTACTTTCTTGTTTATTCTGTAGCCAGATTTTTTTTTCCTTTTTGGGTCACACCCAGCGATGTTCAGGGGTTGCTCCTGGCTCTACACTCAGGAATTACTCCTGGTAGTGCTTTGGGGACTGTATGGGATGCTGGGGATAGAACCTGGGTTGGCCGCGTGCAAGGCAAATGCCCTCCCCGCAATACTATAGCTCCGGCCCCTATAGCCAGATTTAAGCACCCCCCCCCACCTTCCCCATAGACACACCCCACCTTATCTCCACCCCTCCCTTTTTTTTTTTTTTTGGCATTTTCTTTGCTTTTCCAGTCTGAGACTGTGGCTCTTGATTTCAAGTTTAGTCTGTTTTTCAGGACATTGGGTTGTTCAGAAGAGGGCTCCACCCCGCACCCGCACCAGGGCTTGCTGTCCCTGTCCTGAGCAGAGAGGACTAGCCTGAGTGTGAAGTCCCATATATTTAATGCAGTGATTTATATCATACTTGGTTTAAAGGGGAAATCATACTTTAAAAAGGTATCATCTTTGTGCATAACTTTCTCTTTAGCATTTTAAATAGTATTGTAAAGCTCCTTTTGATCGAAGAAATTGTTTACACCGTTGTGCCATGGTACTCAAGATTTTGAAGCAAGCATCATTGAGGGGTCCACCTCTCCCTGGAGAGTTGGGGGCTTGCTGTGGAGACGCACGTGCCTGGATTTCCCGGGCTGTGGGGAGAGGGGCTCAGTGCTCTGCCCGGCTCCGTTAGCGGGCTTGTCTCTGTCGCCTGTGGGACTGGCAGGTGCCAGGGCCTGACTCTTGAATTGGGGGGAAGAGTTCCTGCAGGCTGGCCTGTCTACCAAAATCATCGCCACATCTGTCTACTTCAGCCACCCTCTGTGGGCCACCGTGAAGCTCCTTGTCCCCTTTGCTGTCCAAGCAGCTGGGCTGGTTTTGTCGCCGGAGGCTCTTGGCAGCTGCCAGAACTGCACCTGCCCAGCAGCGCTGCTGAATTTACCCCACTTCAAGCTAGCTGCACCCCCCGGCAGTACCATCTACTCCCCTCCCCCCCCACCGATGAGTGTCCTCCCCTGGGAAGCTGGTGCCACTTCTGGACACAAGAGTTGACTTGTGCATTTCTCCCTGGGGCTTTCCCTGAGGTGGCCCGTTCTTCCGCATTTTACAGATATATTGTAAAGATGTGAAAGGTACACTCTGAATTCGTATTTCTAGAGAAATTACTTTCACCTGGTTGATTTGTCTTCTAGTTTCTGCTCTCGTCTTAAATATGGAAACACCTGACTCTATCCAGAAGGTCGTCAGTTTTATGTCACTAAGATTTCACTTTGTTTTTTCATTAGTATATAGCTTTTTTTTTCCTTTGAAAGGATTCTTCTCTTTGACTTTTCACATTCTCTGTCCTAACCACAGAATAATGCTTCTTTTAGACACATGAAAAAAAAAAAAGATTGAGGGAAAGTAAAGTGATCTGATGATAAATATTTGGAGATATATATATATAATACAATGATTTATACCATATTTGGTTTAAAGGGGAAATTATACTTTAAAAGATATCATCTTTATGCAAACTTCTCTTCTAGCATTTTAAATAATATTGTAAAGCTCCTTTTTATCTAATAAACTGTTTACACTGTTTTGCCATGGTACTCAGTATTTTGAAACAAGCATCACTTAGGGGTCCAAGCTTCACTTAAAAAGAAAAAGTCATGTATTATATTGAATATGTTAATGTTTTGAGTTAAAAAAATGCTTTTAAACGTCTGTAGTGATTTAATATGAAATCATATTCCTTTGAACTTGCTGGTAGGAAAACATTCAACTTAATGAAATTGATTACTGTTGCTATGTTTTGTTCGGTCCTCACCGTGATTTTTTTTTTCTAACTGTGTGTTCTGTTTCCTTGCCTGCCTGCAGTGCTGAGACAAGGACTGGCGTTCAGTCAAATCTATCGTTTTTCCTTGTCTGATGGCACTCTTGTTGCTGCACAAACGAAGAGCAAACTCATCCGTTCTCAGACTACTAACGAACCTCAGCTTGTCATATCTTTACATATGCTTCACAGGTAATCCTAGTTCGAGGAAATCATTTTCCCTCTCCTTCCCTTCTCTTTCCTTTCCTTGAAAGGAAATGTTACAAAAGCAATAAATCATACTAGACCTTCCCTGGCTTGTTAAATATTTCTGTTGTTCGATCCCACAAATGTTAAAATATAAATTATTATTAACTGTCGGCTAATGATGGTTGATGGTACCAGGAAAATAGGGCGATACTTTGGATATATTTACATGGAATGATGTATATTTTTGTTCTCAGGTTTAAATTAACTTGATACTAGCCTTAAATTAAAGGAGAAACATAGTCCTCTTTTTTTCAAAAAAATGATAATTGAATGTTGATTTTTAAAATAAATGTTATTACCGTACTGTTTTAGAGGAGCCCAAAATTAGGAAAAATGATTATGTTTTAAGCTATGTATTTATGCACTTTACAAAACTTAATGAGGTACTATCAGTATATAAAACTGCTCTGATTGATCTCATTTTATTACCTGTCTGTAATTATCTACTTTCTTGTATAGAATTTTAAAAAAAAAATCAGACAGTCCTGTTTGCCAGCTGTCATAATGACCTCCGAATGAAACAGCTTGAAAGTGATTACAGATGTGCAAAATGCCAGCTCCACCCCAACTAAAAACTGGTGTTTGACAGTTTGTAAACCTGTTTCGTGTGGGTTTGTGAACACCTTTGGTAACTCACAAGTAGCGAATAAGGCCATAATTTAAAGCTCAGCGGGCTTGCTAAGTCACCTTGTTCCAAAAACCTGCTTTGAATCATGAGGAAGGGAGTAGATTGGAATTATCCAAGGAGCAACGAGTAAGCTCGCAAGCTAAGATCACTTCCAGGTTCTTTCCCTGCTTTCTGTGGTAGAGGCTCTGTCTGTAACATGCAGGGAACTACTGTGGCAGGGCATGGGAGCTTGTTAGGGAAGGTGATGGGATTCCAACCACTCTTGTTGACTCCAGAGCTTGCAGTCCCTGAAAGTTTGGGGCAAGTTTGCCCGTAAATTAGCTGGTTTACCTTAAGCCAGATAGTACATCCGAACTCTCTAGGCTTATTTTTAGAAATTGTAATCTCTAGCACATAATTGAAGGCAGCTATACTTGTTTGGGTCTTTGGGTCACTTCTTTAAGATGGTTGGTACAAGCTCTCTGGGATTTAGTGTGGGGTTTTTTTTTTGGGGGGGGTGATAACATACAATTTAATGAGAAAGCTGTATTGTGTAATTGAAACCCCTGTAGACCCTTGTTACAACTTCAGTATGGTAGTAGTCACATTTAAACACATGCCCTCTGGAAAACCGCAGACATCTTAATAAGTTGACTGAAAAATAGCCCTCTTGGTCCAAAACTCGACATGATGAGACTTGTCCACAGTGGAAGTCTGTTTCATCAGAGTATTATCTTTCCTTTAAATGCAGTCTGTTCTTTTCAAGAAAAGAAGCGATCTTATTTTGCTAACTTTAATAACAACTTGCTAAAGATTTTTCCTTTTATCTTCTCTCCCCTCCCCCCCCCAATTATTACAGAGAGCAGAATGTATGTGTAATGAATCCGGATCTGACTGGACAAGCGATGGGGAAGCCATTGAACCCAATTAGCTCTAGCAGCCCCGCCCATCAGGCCATGTGCAGTGGGAACCCGGGTCAGGACATGAGCCTCAATAGCAATATGAATTTCCCCATCAATGGCCCAAAGGAGCAGATGGGCATGCCCATGGGCAGGTTCGGGGGTTCCGGGGGAATGAACCATGTGGCAAGCATGCAGGCAACCACTCCTCAGGGTAGTAACTATGCACTCAAAATGAACAGTCCCTCACAGAGCAGCCCTGGCATGAACCCAGGGCAGCCCAACTCCATGCTTTCACCAAGGCATCGCATGAGCCCCGGCGTGGCCGGGAGCCCTCGGATCCCACCCAGTCAGTTTTCCCCTGCAGGAAGCTTGCATTCCCCCGTGGGAGTGGGAGTCTGCAGCAGCACAGGAAATAGCCATAGCTACACCAACAGTTCCCTCAACGCACTTCAGGCCCTCAGCGAGGGCCACGGGGTCTCACTAGGGTCATCGCTGGCTTCCCCGGACCTGAAAATGGGCAACTTGCAAAACTCCCCCGTCAGCATGAACCCTCCCCCGCTCAGCAAGATGGCGAGCTTAGACTCCAAAGACTGTTTTGGACTTTATGGGGAGCCATCTGAAGGTACAACTGGACAAGCAGAGAGCAGCTGCCACCCCGGAGAACAAAAGGAAACAAATGATCCCAGCATCCCCCAGGCCTTGAGCGGGGAGCGGGCTGATGGACAGAGCAGACTGCACGACAGCAAAGGGCAGACCAAACTCCTCCAGCTGTTGACCACCAAATCTGACCAGATGGAGCCTTCCCCCTTGTCCGGCTCTTTGTCGGACACCAACAAGGACTCCACGGGGAGCCTGCCCGGTTCTGGGACGACGCACGGCACCTCGCTCAAGGAGAAGCATAAGATTTTGCACAGACTCTTGCAGGATAGCAGTTCCCCTGTGGACTTGGCGAAGTTGACGGCAGAAGCCACAGGCAAGGAGCTGAGCCAGGAGGCCAACAGCACGGCGCCTGGCTCTGACGTGACGATTAAACAGGAACCCGTGAGCCCCAAGAAGAAAGAGAATGCACTACTCCGCTATTTGCTAGACAAAGATGATACTAAAGATATCGGTTTGCCAGAAATCACCCCCAAACTCGAGCGGCTGGACAGTAAAACTGACCCTGCCAGTAACACAAAATTAATAGCTATGAAGACTGAGAAGGAGGAGATGAACTTTGAGCCCAGTGACCAGGTGAGTGGCGCAACGCGTTCTCCCGAGTCGGCTAATCCATAACCATCTAGGATTTTTTCTCCCTAGGGGCCCTCGGGCCCTCCAGTGACCTGATAAAATAAGCCTCCTTTGGACAACCGGGCTCTGTTCGCGTGCACGTTGTAGGTTCCAAGAACCGTCCAGCAAAGAGTGACGTTGCGATAGAGCAGGGGTGGGCTGACTCTTTTTTGGTAAAAGGCCAAATGGTAAATAATTCAGTCTTTGCAGGCCCCGGGCAGTCACAACTTTGAATTCTGCCATTGTGGTGCAAACACAGCTACAGGCACTGCATCAACAAATGAGTGTGCGGGCTGGCAGAAAACACTTACAGACATGATTATTTTCGTTTTATGCAGTTTATGTGTGTGTGATGAAATAACCTCCTTTTGAATTTTTTTTATTTATTAAAAAAAAATACTGTGCCAGTCTCAGCTTATGGGCCATCCAGAAACAGGTGGTAGGCAGGAGGTAACCACAGGCCAGCTGCGGTTTGCTGCCCTTTGTTACAGAGGATGCCTAAATTGGAGAGAATCACTTTCTCAAGGCTGAGCTTTGTTAGAACAAACTTAATTGAATGAGTTCTTATTTCTTCTCTTTTTAAGACCTGTCTGACTCATGTGCAAGCCAAATGGTCATTGTTCTCCCTCACTTTATCCTTAACCACGCCTTTTTGTTACTCAAGATTTTCTTAGGCCTAAAAAGCATTTAAGGAGAAATGGACGTAAGAAAAAGATGCATTTTCATGGGTTCTTAGTTTATAGAAATTTAAAAGGAAAACCATAGGTTATGTAATGTATAGTTCTTATCTGAAAAATTAATTCCTTGAAAAAAAAATCCAGGACAGCTAAAGTTAATAATTTTCAAAGTTACTCTTGTAAAACACTTGAAGGAGGTCATATCAATTTTAAGCCATTTAATATTACTTAATAGTATTAAATAAATATTAATATGAAATGTATTCTAGTCTATATTAATATAATGTATACTAAATGTATATAATAATATGTCACCAGATAGGTGTTTTCTGGGGAACCAGGACTAGCTGGCAATTCTCCCTCTGACCCCTGCCTGCTGCTCCATATTTCGAATCTGTTAAGTCGTTTTGGTTAAGAAGTGAATAGAGGAGCTGGAACAATAATCTCACAGCGGGTAGGGCATTTGCCTTGCATGTAGCCCAACCCAGGTTCAATTCCCAGCATCCCATATGGTCCCCCGAGCACGGCCAGGAGTAATTCCTGAGTACATGAACCAGAAGTAACTCCTGTGCATCGCTGGCTGTGACCCAGAAGGAAAAAAAAAAGTGAATAGACAGTATAGGCCTGCCTACTTAAAATGATTTGGTGATCTGATTTGTAAATGGATATTTTACGCGTCACTGTCATCAAAGACAAGGTAGGCATAGGTGGGGTGGAAACGAAGTAGCACCCCCTTGCCGTAACCTTGAACTCTGCCGGCTCAGCAGGGATTGCCGGAGGCAGGACCATCCCGGAGAGCTGAGGCCACACATGCCGGCGCCCGTCTGTGCTTCTAAGCACTTAACTTTCTTTATTTCTTTCACTTTGATGTCTTGACAGCTGCTAACATTCCTATAAGGTTGATCTGAATTTTTTTTCCCAAGTCTTTGTGCCCTTCGCAAGGAAAAAGACCTAATTATATAAACATCTTTGGTAATTAATCCCGAAACTTTGATGCTAGTGTAGAATTCTGTTCTGCGTTGCTGTGGAGTCCTTAGGTGGGGAAAACAGGGGCGTCCGCGGAAAGCTAATAGCAATATCTCGGATAAGGTGGAGTGCAAAGCCGTATTGACAACTGTGAATGTTTTCATCTTTTTGAAGTTTCCGGGGTCAGAATACCCAGAGCCTAATGGGCGTTCGGAGTGGCAGGCACAGATACTGTCACTCGGGTCTCTTGACACATGCTAGAGGGCAAAATGGTGACTCATGAGGTCTACCTCAGCTTAGTGCCTCAGTGGCGGGCCCCTCCCTTCATAAACGGTTTATTTCTATCCCCTTTCTGAGGTCTTGATCTAGTAGGGCCAGGGAAGGGATACACCATTGGGCATTTTTGCTTTTAGATACTTGATCAAACTAATACAAGACCTGAACTATCAACAAATAAACTTGGTTGGGTTGGTTTTGGGTTTTGGTGTTTTGTTTTGTTTTGTTTTGTTTTCTGGTTTTGGGCTTTTTTTTGCTGAGGGGGATGGGCAGATTAGAATTTATGTGTCACTTACAGTATCTAATTGTTTTGGAGAAGTATTTCTCTAACCCAAGTTGTCTCATCTATGGAATGTAAAACCCAGAGTTTAATCAGCAGATCTGTTCGGAGGGGAGGGGGGAAGCAGAAAAGTAATATACACACATTCAACATGCATGTACGGTAAGTGTTTTTTCCGTAATGAAACCCAGCCCCTGGTGTCCCCCTCCATCCATTCCCATTTTAAAGTACTCCACCAAAACTGCTTCAGAGCAATTTTAACATCAAAAACATTGCAACTTGAAAAGAAGAGTTACCACAGGAAGTATGCATTACCTAAATTTAGATCAAAGTTAGAATGACTTACTTTAAGGGAAAAAAACAGTGATTCTTTCACCTCTTGCTCTCTTTCACTCTTCCCAAGTCCAGATTAATTGTGTTTCCTGTTACTGCTACACACATTTATTGAAAACTTTTCTTCCAAGGGAACACAGCAAGTTTTTTATTTAGTAAAATTAAAAACTTTGGACATTAAAAATAAAACCTCCTAGAGAGCCCAAATTGCACAGTTAACTCTCTTGGTTTTTTAACTCAGAAAAGAACCATTAAACGGAGGAGTGTGTGTTTAGCATATCACTAACTTATTAAGAAGTACTTCAAAGGCACTATTATACCTAAAATAATTTTCTTTACTGGCTAACGTACTTAAACATTTTGATTCTACAGAATTTCATAACTAACAGGAAACAATGACTAAAAATATTTACTGACTTTTAAGTTATATACTTACTCTTATTTACACAGTGGAGCAAGACCAAATGATACTCTTTTAAGTTCTGACCAGTGCTACAATGAGGGTTTAGAAGTAGTCTAAAGTGTATCGCTTGTTGGCTCCACTTAAAACAAGATTTCAGGGCTGGAGCGCTAGTACAGCGGGTAGGACACTTGCCTTGCAGGCAGCAGACCTGAGCTTCATCCCCGGCACCTAGTGCAGGCCCATTGTACCATCAGAAGTAATTCCTGAGCTCAGAGCCAGGAGTAAACTCTGAGCACAGCTGGGAATGGCCCCAAAACAAAAACACACAAAAAAGATAAACCACATATTTCAATCTTAGTAGTGTCCTAAAACTTTCCCTCCAAGTGTAGAGTTGTGTGCCAGGTTTTTTAAAATAATTTTTCACTAGGCAAGTCTAGTAATATTACACCTTTTATTTCAATTTTTTAAAAGCTGTCTTGCAACTTATTGAAATACTTGTTATTAAAATGCTTGTGCTCTTTATATTTCCTTCAGAGAACATTGATTTTATACATGCAAAATTCATAAAACCAGAGAAATAAAAAATTTAAGAAATCAAGTCCAATTTTCATTTTGTAGAACTTTTATAAAAATCTTTCTGACTCATTTTTCTGCCTGAAATAGTTTAAACTAACTATTCAAATTGATGTGGCTAATTTGAGCATTCAAATAGATGCCTAAGCAAAACTTTGAAGTATCTTGGCAAAGCTTTTTAAAGGAAAGCATTAATCTTTTTGTCTTGTGGAAGAAATCATGCCTAACAAAGTGGATAGGGACAAGAAGAACTTTTGATGAGAATTAAAGCTTACAAGAATTTCGGAGAGGAAATGTTTGATCAGAAACTTAATGTGATCAAATCCATCCCTTCCAAAACTTGCAGGACTACAGAAGAAAATGCCACAGTCATCAGATTTTATTGCTAAGTATCTGAAAGGGGATAGACATTCTGAACCTGATCTCTTTGAAGAGCATTTAGCGTAAATTTAAGACAATTAGATTATGTTAGATTTAATATGCTCCAAAAATTGACAAAAAACATGGGCAAGGCAATGTTATCTTTAGTAGGGACCGTTCATAATACTTATTCTTATGGTAATTTAAACACATTCAAATAATGTCCACAGTTAGGGGTCTCCAAAGATTCAGTTTCTTTGTAACGTAACATGGAGCAGTTCTGCCTAACTCTCTTAAATACTTGTCACAATAGACCTGCTAAACAAGTTGAATTTGATCAGCTCTTAAAATGGCAAAAATGAGGAGCCAGAGAGGTAGTAAAGTGGACGCTTTGCTTTGCAGGTACCTGAGTTCAATACCTAGTATCTTATATGGTCCCCTGAACACAGCCGTGTGTGACCCAAAAACTTAAAAAAAATAAAAATTAAAAAGCAGTAAAAATAAAAGTCAGGGATGCTGGCGAGAGTACACAGCTTGGGGTGTGTGCCTTGCTTATGACCAACCCTGCTGCAGTGCCCCCATACCACATGTGATTTCCTGAGCACAGAGACAGGAATACCAGGTACAGCCCAACACCCACACCCCAATTAAAATCAAATTCTGAGAAAATAAATTTTCGTGATTTTTTTTTTAATGATTGAAATTGAAAAATAATCAATTGGGGCAAGGAGGTAACTCCGTGCACTGGAGTGAATTCTTTATTTGTTTGAGGCCTGGATTCTACCCTTTGCGCCACCTGGAGTAACTTCTGTGCGCCACCAGGTGTGAACCCGAAACCCAAAACAATGAAATTTTCAAAATAAGAAGCAATCAGTTGATTCTAGCCATCAGTATATACACATAACACTGACTCTTTTTTTTTTTAATTTCATTAGTCACTGCTTTATAAAGGTAAAGGCCCTCCCGTTGATCGTCGATTTGCTCGAGCGGGCCCAGTAACGTCTCCATTGGAGACTTTGTTGTTACTGTGTTTGGCATATCAAATACTCTCGGTAGCTTGCCGGGCTCTCCGAGAGGGGCGGAGGAATCGAACTCGGGTCGGCCATGTTGGCCGCTTGGAAGGAACGCCCTACCGCTGTTGCAAATCCTGGTCCTGGAGGAACCCAGGGGCACTTGCCTTGCTTGAATTAGCTCTCGGGTCTGGAGGAACCCAGGGGCACTTGCCTTGCTTGAATTAGCTCTCGGGTCTGAACACAACATTGCAGGCCCCCAAAGCACCGCCAGGTGTCACCCTGGAGACCGCCCATGCATTGGACCAGCTGGCCCAATTGCGGTCTTGATGGGTGTTGCCTCCAGAGCACTGCTTGGGAGACCCCAAATGAAAATCAAAATGAAGAATCCCATCACTAGAATTCTTTGAAACAATTTGATAGTGATTTTTCGCTTAAAGATGGCTCGAAGTAAAGTCTTATCTGTGTAACAGGAAAAGCTAAAGGTAAAAGGTGAGATGGGACCACAGTGTTATACAGCGGGTAGCGCGCTTGCCTTGCACGCGGCCAAGGTTCCATCTGGAGCATCTCATATGGTCCCTGAGTAGTGCCACGTGTGGCCCCAAAACAAACAGAGGTAAAAGGTGGGAGACTAGCCCAGGTGGTTATTAATCTGTATTGTGAAAATCTTCTTCCACACATACCTGAGATCCGCAAAGCATCTTCAAGAAGCAACTTCAGGTTCACATGGTTCCTTGAGCACTGTCAGGAACGTAACCCCAACACCCAAAGGATTTTAACGAGGAGTAATCCCTGGTCCCAGTGGGTATGCACCTCCCCGCCAAGCAAGAATAATAGCAGCTTGCTACTTGTTATAGCCCATTTCTCTCTTTTCCACTCACAGTTACTTCAAGGACCACTATTTAAGTCGTGTATGTGAGGTAGCATTTTGTGGAGAAACTTGCTTCAATGGGACAGCAATAAACTTTGTAACATATTAGAACCTCTTATCTCTAGCTATTTTTAATCACCCACTAGAAGAATATCGATATTTTTTAATATTTTTTCATTGCAGGCCAGTGTAGTGAAAGAAATTCATCAGGATGAGCTTGGAAAAAAAGAACTGTTTTAATGTTTAATGTTTAGCCCATATGTATTGGGTAAAAGACGATAAAAGCAGATTTACAATGGAATTGAACTAATACAGAGACATCTATATGCATTCCAGAGAAGAAAGAGAAAAGGGGGAGAGAGAACAGGTGGATATTGGGAGTTATTTCAGTAATGTGCACAGTGTTGCCGTAGTTAACTGAATGCTTAGTAAAGTAATCTTGAGTTGGGTGACAAGAGTGTAGATTTTGATTCTCTTAGAACTTGAAAGTGTAGCTACCAACTTACTAAAAGCACCTGGCCCCTACATCATCCATGTCACTTAGGCCTCAGCTTAATAATCCGTAATGTGCTTTCACTCTGGAGGAAAAATGAGCAGTGTCACTTTTTGTAGGAAATATCCAAAAGATTCTTTCCTAAGGGGCTTTTTGTTTGGTTTTCATCTCGTTTCTTTATGGTGCCAGGCATCCAACCTCAGACCTCACGTGTGTAAACATGCACTCTGTCACTGAGACACATTCCTGCCTTTCTAAATTTTAAGGATTATTTTCTCTGTGTCCCTTTATGCTTTCTCCTGCTAACTCTGATAGCTAACCCTTAACTTAGATACTTCTCTTCCCCTACTTCTGGCTTCCCTCTTTTTGCTAAAAATGGAAAGCTAAACTAGAGGAAATGGTCTTGTAATTGCTCTAACAATCCAGTAGAAATTCCTGAAAACTGATTCTCCAAGTTATTGCCAAGCTTGTTAGCTCTGTACAAAGAAACAAAATGTCACCATATACTTGCCTTTCCCAACTTGAAAAGTACATCCTGCCAAAAGACTTTGTATATGGATAGTACATCTGCCATAAATCGCAAAAGCATAGCAAATTCAGCCTTTACTTGGTGAACGGAAATTGTCTTTCAGCTCTAAGCATGCCTCATATCAGACGTGAATGATTTCTGTGATTTCTATTTGAATTACCAGCATAGACAAAAGGATTAGTCATAGTCAAGGATTCACAGTCCGTCCAGTAACTTTGGGGAAATTGCCTAACTTATGTTTTTCCACCTACACATTAAGAGAATCACTTTTGCCACTTTTCTTTAGTAGAAAGTAATCGTAGCACTAAACTTAACTCATTTACTTGTGTGGTTGACCCTGTCTGCTTTTTAATATTATACGTTTAAAACAATAGGAGTTGGACTTCCTAAAGAAAAGTATTAGACATGAAATGCATATGATGTTTACCTTATTGTCTTGATGGTAATAATTGAAATGATGAAAGTATCTTTTAAAAGGGGAAGAGCCCTGAAACATTTTTCTGGCTTCTGAGAAATCAGGTTAATAGAGGCTATATTTGGGAACAACTTGTTTTTATCTTGCTTTCATACCTTTTGTTACCTAAGCTGCTAGAGACGAAGAAAGCCAGTGTCATTTGAAATTGAAAGTACAAGCAGGGGAGAAAAACACCAGCAAATTGAAAAGGCCATGCTTAGCCGGTTCATGGTTACCTCAAGTTTATGTCTCATTTTCCCTCCTGCTCTTAGGGAAGGAAAAGAAAGGTCTTAAAGGAAACCACCACTGGTCAGTCCTGGGTTTGGTCAGCCCCGAGTTTGGCCACCAGCACCAAATAAAGCAAAACAAGGGAAATAACCATTTAGTATGGATTTTCTATTTTCTGTCAGTTATTTTTATTTCTTAGGAAGACAACCACAAAATCCAGACCTGTACTCTTACGTCTCAGTACGTGCTTAGTTACTTAGAAACGTGCACAGTCATGATTAAGTGAATGATTAGCATAAAATAAAGAGGAATTTATAAACAGCCAATGACTCACAATGCTGGAAGACAGCTTTATTTCTAATTCTGTCATCTCTCTTTTTGCAGCTGAGGACATTAAGGACCAAGAAATTAGTTATTCGTCCTTTGTCAGTGACACTTATTAAAAGGTGTTGAGTTCATTGTGAGGCCTGAGGTTCATGTGTATCTGCAGATTTTGTCTGGCCATGTGGCACTGTGTCACTTGTTCTGTAATTGTCAGCGGGTCTGTGCCCACTTGGGGAGTGGGAGTGGATAAACTCTTCTGTTTGTTAACTGCAGCCTGGCAGTGAACTGGACAACTTGGAGGAGATTTTGGATGATTTGCAGAATAGTCAATTGCCACAGCTTTTCCCAGACACGAGGCCAGGTGCCCCGACTGGATCCGTAGACAAGCAAGCCATCATCAATGATCTCATGCAACTCACAGCGGAAAACAGCCCGGTCACACCTGTTGGAACCCAGAAAACAGCATTGCGAATTTCACAGAGCAGTGAGTATGAGATATGATAGTTATGCCAAGAAATTTCCATGTAGAGTTACAATCGTCGATAGGATTGTCAAAATCTGATACAAACAGCTTAGTCACGTCAAGGGGTTTTGCGGTCAAATAGCACCATCTACTGTTCTGGTCCTTGGAAACAGTTTTCAGAATGGATTCCCATGAGCTTGGCTTTCCAACTCTTCTCTGGTGGTCCATCTGATCAATGAAGAGTGAAACTGACCTACGTCATTAAATTGGTTAAGTCCTTTAGATGGTTGTCAAACATCCCTTTTAAATTACTGTTTTATAAGTACAATTTAAAATAGATTATATAGGGGGCTGGAGCGATAGCACAGTGGGTAGGGTGTTTGACCTGCACGCGGCCAACCTGGGTTTGGTTCCCAGCACCCCATATGATCCCCTGCGTACTGCCAGCAGTAATTCCTAAGTACAGGGCCAGGAGTAACCCCTGTGCATCATCAGGTGTGACCCAAAAAGCAAAAAATAATAAATAGAATATATGTGTTTTCACATATACTTCAACACTTAAAATATTTAAAAAATTAGGGGCTGGAGCGTTAGCACAGCGGGTAGGGCGTTTGCCTTGGACGGGGCTGACCTGGGTTCAATTCTCAGCATCCCATATGGTTCCTCAAGCACCTCCAGGAGTAATTCCTGAGTGCATGAGCCAGGAGTAGCCCCTGGGCATTGCCGGATGTGACCCAAAAACCAAAAAAAGAAAAGAAAAATATACTGACTTTTTAGGAATATTATTAAATATAAGGTGAACAGTATTGACAGTTTACAAACTCTATAGTTACCAAAATTATCCAGAAATTTTGAAACAAAATCTTTGAAGCACAGAACTGTACCTTGCCCACAATTTATAGACAAGTAAATTCCACGATGTAAATTAGTGAAGAGAATTTCCTGCCCAAGTAGTTGACTTACTGCTCAACTCAGTGCCCAAAGCTGAAATGGCAGCCATCAGCCAGATCATAAAATATCTTTCAATACTAGAACTTTCCTCAAATGAACATAGATCTTCCTAAAAAGTGAAAAATGAAACAAAGGTGAAATTTTATTGCTTATTTCTCAGATCTGCCCATTTCTTAGAGAATGGTCGATTACTCGTAGACTGAGTGAGAGATCGCAAAGTCAGAGCGAGAAATCAGAGTGAGCAAGAAATACACAACAGCTTGTTCTTCAGACCAGAGGATGAAAGGAGGACTCCATGGAGTCCCTGGCTTCTCCTCTCTCTGTGCCTCCTGATGGGATTAGATTATTGAATTGCAGCCAAATAACGGAACCAGAGGAAGTCCAAATTAGCCATGTATTTAATTTCCATCCCAAGCCCTAATTCTTCTAAATATTTTATTTCTCTTATTGATAAGAACTTATTCTTTGCTTATTGCTCAATTTTATACGATTTATATAATTAATAGAATATAAAGTATGCGACTTTTTAAGTTCTGTAAATTGTAATTTATTGTGTACCTATTTTTGTGTACTCAGTGAGGGGGATAAGGGGACCTCCCAGGGTGCCCAGGAGACCAGGGGCCCCTTTGGGCACCTTTGGCCCCCTACCTGAGCCTGGGGATCCTTGCACTGCTATTAGTTTGGGGGGACCCTGTGGTGCGATGGACAGAACCAGGGTTGGCGGCGTGCACGACTTTTAAATATCATCAAATGACTAGTTATCTCTGTGGTCATACAGTGCTTGAAATTAATAAGTTCTTGTTAACCATGAAAATCATTTCAGATCTCTTTGGAAGTTAAAGGAACTACTTTCGTGAAAACTCAGTAGGACCCTAAAGCTTTAACTTATTACTGACTTCAGATAGCTGAGTTCACACTTCAGGAATTTAATTCCAGCTGAGAAAAGCTGCTTTTGACCTCATTTACTCCCATAAAAAAAATCACTAAAGAAATGATTCTCTAGAGGCTAGAGCAATAGTACAGCAGGTAGGTCGTTTGCCTTGCACGCAACAGACCCAGGTTCGATCCTTGGCCCCCCAGATGGTCCCCTGAGCCCTCCAGGAGGAAACCCTGAGCACTGCCGGGTGTGACCCAGAAACCAAAAAGAAAAAAATTAGAAATGGTCCCGGACCAGATTCAGAGCACAGCTGGTCCAGCATGAGTATGGCAAACAGTGCACGCAGCTGCCATCCCTGGCACCACCTGCAGGACCCTGGGCACAGCCAGATTCCCTCTCAGAAAAATAAAGACATGATACCCTAGGCCAAAAAGATTCCTGAAAGGCTGAACACGTGGGCCCCTGAGTTCCATCCTGGCAGCATGCACCCGCTTCCCACATCTAGCACACCTGAGCATCACCAGGTGTGACCGCTGGGCTCTAGCACCGCTCTGTCAGCTGGCCCAGGGAGTCTCTCTTCGACCTGGTTGACAGAATCGTGCCAAGAGAGGACCCCTGGGTTCCCTGAACATTGCATGGGGGGCCCTCCTCTGAGCACCCTCCGCCCCCCACTTCCCCAAACCAAAAATACTCAAATGTCCGAACCACGTGTCTGAGTCTGGTGCTTTGCAAAAGATTATAGCTCTGTAGCTGAGATAAAGCAGAACCGAATAGTAAGAGCAACTTTGTAAATAATATTTTTAATAGTTTACTTTGCAAATTAATCGAATATTGGAAATTAGTATTAGTACAGAAAATGTGTCGTATTTCAGAGAATTGTCCAGTTTCAAAGTTGAAACCTGCTAATAAAATTGACTCTTCATTTTGTTACTGAATGTTTATATTGCTGATGAATCTGTCTTTTACGTAGATAGGTGATCCCTGGTGTGCATATCTTTGTTATTTTACAGAGGACATTTCCCCTGAACACGACTTCTGCTACCCTTCTTTTCCATTACTCTATATTAACCTTCAATTTTCATTTGTTTTCTCCTTAGCTTTTAGTAACCCACGACCAGGGCAACTGGGCAGGTTATTGCCAAACCAGAATTTACCACTTGACATCACATTGCAAAGCCCAACTGGTGCTGGACCTTTCCCACCAATCAGAAACAGTAGTCCCTACTCAGTGATTCCTCAGCCAGGAATGATGGGTAACCAAGGGATGATAGGAAACCAAGGAAATTTAGGGAACAGTAGTACAGGTAAGGGCTCAAATACACTGTTACTTTATTGGTGGGTTATTTAATGAAGTGATGTTTTCATCCACATCAAACCAGTGGAATATTTGAAGTCGATTTTTTTGATTGTTAGAAACTAATATTTGATCATAATAAAATTCTGTAAGTTTTCACTGTAAAGGTGGCATATTGAAGCATCAGAAAGCATTTTATTCTGTGATAATTATGGTTATGAAGTTTCCAGTCATTCATCCTATTTCGTTTACTGTCTAAGACATTGCAGCACTATGTATAAAATAATTTGGTAGTTGCTAGGTTTGTGTGATAATCGTGCTCTGATAAGCCCAAGACTTCCTATTCATTGATGATTTGTATTTGGAAAATTTCAGAATTCAGGTGTAAAACCCAACCTTTATTAACGGAAAGGTCTCATTCCAAGAAATAATAAAGGGCTTTAATGGTAGAATGCCTCGCCTAAATAATGAGTCAGGCTTCATTTTTGAAAATGTGTGAAATTTCCTGTGATGTGCTTCGAACCCTGACCTGTGCTCATTTAAGGTGTGCTACCAAGTTGCCCAGGACATTTCCTCAGTAGTCGTCACTGTCCTGGCATCTGCCATATTGCCAAATCTGGATCCAGTCAGGCCCAAAACCATTGCAGCAGCATTGGCTTGCTGTGACACCAGGCCCTGTCTGCTACCCAATACTGTCCACTTAATGCAGAGCAGGATGCCGAGTTTTCTGGTGAGGTGCTGCTCTCAACTAGGAGCTTCCATCCTTTGTCTAAAGAACAGACTGGGGAAAAGGCATTGAGAAAAGTAGATCTGATTAGAAGAACATATCTATGGGCAGTTAAATGGTTTTTAAAACTTAGTTTATAATCATTGCATACATGTTGTATTTATGTATTTAGTTAAAAACGAGAGTTTGTTGTAACAGGAAAAGCTGGATCTTTAACCCCATTCTATTGTTAGTAATTCATGGAGAGTATGACCCTTGATACATTAAAATAATTTGTTCTTCAGAAAGTAAAATATTTCTTCTCTGGTACTTTCTATATGTGCCAGGCACTGACTACTTCACTAGTTTGTATAATTACAGAAATTAATGCCATATAAATTTTGTATTTTAAGGTTCATATGCACTTATTTTTAAGACAGTGTTTATTTACATTGAAATGTTGATTGATATAAAATTCTCTAATAGAAAAGGAGCAAATTAGTCATTTGGAGTGACTCCTTATTAGCAAAGTAAAAGTGTGGGTATTTTTTGTTCATCTTTTTTTGGCACCATGATTTACGGTACTGTTAATGGTAGGATTTCTTGCATAGAACATTCCAGTACCACACCCTTCACTGGAGTGTCCACTTCCCATCACTGTGGTCCCATAACTCAACAAGACTTGTTCTTCTGTAAAGCCGAAATAGGGATTTGAGGATACATCTGCATTCAGATGTAGGGCATCCAGGGCTGAAGAGGTAGTACAGTGGGTCGGGCTCTTGCCTTGCACACAGCCTACCCAAGTTCAGTTCCAAGCATCCCATATGGTCCTTCAAACACTCACCAAAAGTGATTCCTGAGTGCAGAGCCAGGAGTAGCCCCTGGGCATCGCCAGGTGTGGCCCTAAAACAAACAGAAACCACAAATGTAGGCAGCCAGTCCAGGTGATGAAAATCATGTAATACTTCTGCTTTTAAAAAGAGACACAGGCTGAAAGAGACTTGCCTGCATTAATACTGATGAATTGCAAACGATTTGTTTTCTGCTGCCTCCAAGATTATAATTTTGTTACATTACTTAGCTATAGATTTTTGGAAGAATAAAATAACTTTTCTCCCATAATATCTTCACATACCCCAACTTTAATGTCAGAAGAAAAATTTTTAAATTTCTGTTATTATTCTGACTTGACCAGTATAACAAATTATGCCTTATTCTCAATCATCCCAGTGTTGCACATTCTCATTTTACTAGTAAAAAGCCAAACCGTGCTTGCTTCCTCTGCTTCTTAAACATAACCCCCATTTCAACTAGGGTTCATCATAATCAAATGAAAAGTAAGGCATGTATTTGAAAGCAGAACTTTCACGTACCCACCATTAAACACTTCACTTGTAGTTGAAGTGAGACTTGAAGATTATCAAGTCGGGGGTTGGACAGACAGTCCAGCAGGTAAGGCTCTTGCCCAGGACACGTCCAACCCCGGCTTGATCCCAACACCTCATACGGTCCTGTGAGCCTGCCAGGAGTAAGCCCTGAGCCCAGCAAAGTATGGCCCAAAAACTAATTAAAAAAAAAAAACAGATATCAAGTCCATTACCAGTGTCCCAGAGGCAAGGCCAGGTAGAACAGATGTTTTCTAAAGTTGACAGTGTTGTGCTGTTGTGGCTGTTTCATCAGAGAACTGTTGGCATCTCCAGTAGAGAAGAGTTCCTACACGTCTAGCCTTCCCCATTCTAGATCTGCCGAGTTGGACGGGTGTGGGTCCGAAGCCCTCGAGGACAGGAGGGGTTCCCTTGCCTTTGTTTGGCTGTAAAGAACAGTAGTAAGGACTAGAAGGATTCTCTCCCCACGCTGTAGAAGCTGCCTTCTTCAATTTTGAAGCTTAACAAATGACACTCTGACAGGGACGCAGGGGTTTGAAAGTCTTGCATATGCTTCGGGGAGCATTCACCGTGATTTTGGCTTCTAGTTAGAATATTGATCATCGATTTTTACCTCAGTCCTCTTAACCTCACCTCCCGTTTGGAAAGTAAAGGGTTTGACGTGTGTGTCTGCTAATGTGATTCACTTCCTGAGGAAGGAAGTTGGGGTTATCCACACACCACAGCACCTGTTTCTAAGTACATATGGGAACGACTTTAACAGCTTTACTGAACTATAGAGAGTAGCAAGTTCATGTTCTGAAAACCTTTGTACTCCTTGCCAATTCTCATTTCTTAGCCCAGGGCCCACATCTGTCCACGACAGAGCATTAGCTGTTGAGCTGTGTGTTAGAGAATGCGTATCTTGTGCAAAGTAAGATTGTCTGGTGTTCACGCTGATCATGTTTCCAGCTACTGCATCTCTCAGGTCTTTCTGCTTCCACTGCAGGAATGATGGGCAGTAATGCTGCTCGGCCCACTATGCCCTCAGGGGAATGGGTGCCACAGAATTCCGCCGTGAGAGTCACCTGTGCGGCCACCACCAGTGCCATGAACCGGCCGATCCAAGGAGGTATGATTCGGAACCCCACAGCCAGCATCCCAATGAGACCCAACAACCAGCCTGGCCAAAGGCAGATGCTTCAGTCTCAGGTCATGAATATAGGTAAGAGAGTTTCCGTGCTTTTTTTGCTTTTGATTATTTAAGCTTTCTTGGGAGACAGCAACAGCTCCGTAAGTTCTTTCAAGACATCCCTAATGAGTGGTTTGAGTAATCCCCCTTCACCGAGCTGTCATAAACGAGACTTTACTGGAACTTGATGAGAATCGCAGAGGCTTTCCAGTTACTTAAACAGATCGGCTGCATTTGTGATGTTTTGTTTTATTTAAATGAGCTAGCTCTGGCTGTTAGTGAATCAGTCACACAATAAAGAGTATGTATATGATATTTTAAAGATGTGTTTCCATGAGACAGTGGCTCCTTACTCAGAATCATCCCAGGGCCTAAAATGCAAATGCCTGGCCACTACCCTCGGTGACCTAATCTCCTATCCCAGGTCTTCTCTGAAGGAACAAAGTCTCAGCTCACAGACTGTAAGCTCACTAGGATTCTGTTCGGATTCAATTCCCATGATACTAGAAGTCGTGATCTGGGCTGGAGAGATGCTGCAGTGGTTAAAAGTGGACTGGAGAGCTAGTACACAGATGAAGACACTGGCCTTGCATGTCACGGACCCCAGTTCAGTCCCTAGCACTTTTACGGCCCCCCAAGCACCACCAGGAGTGATGCCTGAGCACAGAGGCAGGAGTAAACCATGAGAACAGCCAGATGTAGCCTAACACCCCCACTCCCCACCCCATAAGAGAAATAGAATGAATATGTTTACCTTTTTAAAAAAATTCTAAAAGTGATAATGGTGATGATCATACAGTTCCGCAAATATACCGAAACCTGAGTCATATAAAGATTGAATTTATGTATCAGTCATGCTGTTGTTGAAAAAAAAAAAATCCTACACAGATCATACTTGAGTTTCTTTGCAGGAGTGGGGGATAGGGACTGGTGTTAGGTTTGGGGCCACACCCATGGAACTTGGGGCTTATTTCTGGTTCTGCTGAGGGACTGATATATGCCCCAGGGCTTGAACTGGGGTCGACCACATGCAAAGCAACAAGCGTCTTAACCCTTGTACAACCTCTCTTACCCTTGAGCTTATTTCTTATCAACATACTAACTTTCCTCACCTAGGCATAGTTCTGATGAGTTAATTTTTATATACATTTTTCCTAATGTTTAGATTACACAGTGGATAAGAGCTAAAACATCAGTGGAACCATGCCAGAATTGTTTTGACAAGATGATACCAAAGGATCCCGCCTCTGGCATCAAATTTCTTACCCAGTTATTTCACTGGGCATTTTAGCTTTTGTTTCTGAGAGGTGACATTCTACATTGAGTGTATTTAGAATTAATCAGTAGTTCCCAAAAAGAATTCATGAAATTTGAGATTGGCGTGAAGATTACTGAAAACCACTAGTTTTCCAAGCAAATTAGTGCAACAACTTAAAAATACCTGTAAATTTGTTCATTTTAAAATCATCAGGGGCCAGAGCAGTTCAATGGATAGGACATTTGCCTTGCAGGTGGCAAACCAGTTCAATCCCGACATTCCTTTCGGTCCTCAGAGCACCCCTAGGAGTGATCTCTAAGTGCAGAACCAGGAGGAGCCCTAAGAATCACCGGCTCTGGCCCAAGAACAAACAAACAAACAATTCTGCATAATAAGTTCTTGAATACAGAAATTTTTTTTCTGACTTTTGTGGGGTTTTTGGGGCCACACGTAGCAGCGCTCAGGACTTACTCCTGGCTCTGTGCTTGGAATCACCCCAGCAGGTTCAGGGATGACACAGAGTGCCAGAGATCAGACTTCAGCTGGTTCATGTGCAAGGCAGGTGCTCTGCCCTCTGGTCTTCCCTGCCAGCCCCATCGGTACCTGGCTTTTCAGGTTGAAGTATGGCTCTGTAAACATTTGCATAGCTGAATTTGTCTAATTTTTAATCAATCCCAAAAGGCCACGAATTCAACCAAAAAATAGCATAATGGAAGAAGGCACAGGTTTACAGATAGTGATAAGAATCCAAAGACAAGTTAGCTTTCCCAACTGACTGGCTCTTCTCCTTGCTCCCTTCTTTCATTGATGAAGAGCTCACTGGATGCCGTGCCGAGGAGTAAGTGGTTTAAAGCATCCCCTCTGGTCACCAGTGCTCAGTTACCCGAGACCTGGATTTGATCCCCACTCCTGCATGGTCCCCTGAGCACCACCAGTTGTGACCCAAAAACCAGAACAATCAACCAGTGCTTCCCAATGAGTGTTTCAGGACCTGGGGGGGGGGGGGGGAATGTCCATGTGGGGTTCCAGGGATCAGCCTGAGTCAGCCAAGTGCAAGACACACACCATACTGGCTTTACTATCTCTCCAGCCCCACAATATATTTTAAAGACCTAAAAGATATCTACATGCCAGAGTTTTAGAATTTCTGGTCTCTGGGGCTGGAGCAATAGTACAGTGGGAAGGCATTTGCCTTGCACACAGCCGACCTGGGTTCAACCCCCAGCATCTCATATGGTCCCCTGAGCACCGCCAGGAGTAATTCCTGAGTGTAGAGCCAGGAGTAACCCCTGTGCATCACCAGGTGTGACCCAAAAAGCAAAAAAAAAAGAATTGCTGGTCTCTATCATTCCCTGATGTGAATGATTAGCTTTGATATTTCATATTGTCTTTGTATCTGTTTCAGAATGAAAAAATTTTTCTGATTATTTTCACCAATTTTCATTTTCTGTACAATAGGGATTTCACTTTGTACTACAGAAGCAGGTAATGCCCTGATTACAAGTTGTTTGGTTTTTTTTTTCTTATCATTTTTCTTCCCCATTTTAGGGCCTTCTGAACTAGAAATGAATATGGGGGGACCTCAGTACAGCCAGCAACAAGCTCCTCCGAACCAGACCGCCCCCTGGCCTGAGAGCATCCTTCCTATCGACCAGACTTCCTTCGCCAGCCAGAACAGGTGAGCTCCGGGAACGGGGATCCGCCTTAAAAGGACTTGGTGAATTCCATGGGTTTTTCTTCATTGTTGTTCTGTTTGGGGGCACACCCAGCAATGCTGAGGGGTTGCTCTTGGTTCAAGGTGCAGGGCCAGGAATCAACCCAGAGTGACGGCATGCAGGGCAGGCGCACTGCCCACCATATGATCTCTCCAGCCCCCAAACTCCGTGTGTTTTATACCTAACCCAGAAGTTGAGTGTTTGCTTTCAGATACTCAATTTTCACATATTTAGATTATGATCTCTTGGGTAGGGAGCACATAACTAGATCCTGGGATCTCTTTATAAGCTGTTTCTCATCCATTTTTTCTGTTCTTTCATTCTTGGATTTCTTTTTTTTTCTTTTTCTTTTCTATTTATTTATTTATTATTGCTTTTTGGCTTTGGCTTTTTGGGTCCCACCCAGAGATGCTCAAGGTTTGTTTATTCCTGACTGCACTCAGGAAATTACTCTTGGAAGTGCTCAGGGAACCCTATGTTATGGGATGCCAGGGATCAAACTCAGGTTGGCCATGTGCAAGAAAAGTGCCAGTTGTACTATCTCTCCCAGCCCCATTCTTAGATTTCTTATAGATAAAGATAAAAGGATAAAGGCCCTCCCGTTGATCGTCGATTTGCTCGAGCGGGCCCAGTAACGTCTCCATTGGAGACTTTGTTGTTACTGTGTCTGGCATATTGAATACTCTCGGTAGCTTGCCGGGCTCTCCGAGAGGGGCGGAGGAATCGAACTTGGGTCGGCCATGTTGGCCGCGTGTAAGGCGAACGCCCTACCCGCTGTGCTATCGTATAAGGCTTATTATATTTTATCTTTATATCAAATCTTTTAAAATTCTATTCAGAGTTTCCAGCCTCACCCCCAAAATATCTACTCTCCATATCCCCTAATCTGTATGTTTTCTATTTTCTTATTTCTCGGTACTACCATTAGAATTATTTATTTATATCTCTGTTTCAGTCCTTTGAGAATCTATCTTGTTCTTCGGTTAGATTTTTTTTTAAATTCTATTTGTCTGATCATTCTTAGTATGTCCCCAGCAGTTTATTTGGAATCTGTGTGATTCTGTCTTTCAACATTGTTTTCTAAGTCTCTCATCGTCCCAGCATCTCTCAGTGTCTGCCTTGAGTATCCGAGCATTCTTTCATGGAGGGCACCTAGCTGAACTGAAAACACCTTGAGCCACCCCAGGTGGCAATAGTTACGTGCCTTGGCCTGTTCCCCCTGGCGGCTCAGTGGCCGCCATCCTGCAGAGGCCATTGGACAGTCAAGTTTGGGCCCTCCGTGACAAGACACTTGGGCCTCACGGGATGGGGGTGGAGCCGGCCCTTTCCTTCGCACCCCAATGAGATCCCGAGTCACCACCCACAAATGGCCTCTCTGGCTCCTGATCAAGCTGCTTAATGGGACTCAGGAACAAATCTCGGAACCCAGCGGGTTTTGGCAGAAATCCCTCCAGATTTAATTGTTAAAATTTCAGAATTTCAAAATCGTGCGGCCACTACTGCGACCGCACGACATCATATGTTATTCAGAACCAGCAATAGAAAACAAATTGTCTACAGTTGCCTTTTCGGCAGATCTGAGTGTTGGAGTAAAATCCCAAATAATAATGGTGGGTCTGGAGTCAAAATATTGAATGAAATCAAAGTAGAGAGAGAGTAATATGGAAATCATCTGCCCCACAGGTAGGGGGAGGGTGTGAGATGGGGGTTTGCTGGGGGTTTTGGTGGTGGAAAATGGGCACTGGTGAAGGGACAGGTATTTCACTGTATGACTGAGACTTAAACCTGAAAGCTCTCATGAGGATTCAATAATAAATTTATAAAAAAGAAAAAAAAAGTAAGGTGGGGTTAATGCCCAATTCAATCAGTGGCTGAATAATTAGCAATACTCCTACATTTAAAAAAAAAAAAAAGAAGAAAAGAAAGGAAGGAAGAAAACACCGTGAAACGGAGGACACTTTCCTCGTGGCAGAATTGGCAGTGTCTTCTGCCAGGGCATGGCTCAGAGTTCCCAGGCTGTACACCCATCCCCTCCTCAGCGCAATCCCTGTCCTCTCTGGTAGCATCATTACTTCTCTTCTACTCTGTGGACAGAATGTACCCGCCCCTCATGACTCAGAGGATTCGCGGGTGGTTTTGGTTTGGTGCTTGCGTCTCTGAGATGTCCTTTATTCTGGCAACATCACGGTTGTGCCCTGTGCGTAGTCATCTCACCAGTTTCTGGAGAGCACCCACCGCAGAGACCCTGAGGCGGGGTGGTGGCACTGACGGTGAGGGGGGAGCCCAGACAGGAGCCAGTGAGGGAGCTTGCAGGACACGCGGGCAGAGCGGGGCAGGACACTGGAGCTGGGAGGCTTGGCTGTGGGGGGCATGCGAAAATACTTGGGGTCGGAGGCTTAGAACCCTACTACAGGCTGTGTGATTGCCCTTTGGGGATTCTTCTTGTTGAAAATTCTGTAATCATCAGATTCTCGGGTGCTAGAAGACCATGGGACTTGGGATACAGCAGTAGGATAGGTTTCTGCTGTTTACTTGGTGGGCCACTGGCTGGCTGGCTGACTGGCTGGTTGGTTGGTTTGTTGGTTTTTAATATGCAGATAGGTTTCACAGTGAGCTCTGCTCTGGATCGCTGTGGCCTGGACTCCTCGGCCCACAGTTTCTATGTGCTCCTTCTTCCTCTGCCTTAAGAGAGGAGCAAAGGGTTCAGTGGGGTTTTAAAGAAAAGCAGAAGATGAATTTGAAGCCAGCAACAGGATTTGTTGGGAGCAAGGTGGGACCCGAGTCCAGTGACAGCAGCAGCTCCCTGGGACTCGGCGCTGCTTTCTCCAGTGCTCAGTTACTGTGCGTTGGTGTCTTGGATGATAACTATTGCGGACCAAGCAAACAGTTTCTCCGCGTTCAGGGTCGTTTCAGTTTTCCCACTCACAAAGCGTCTAGGCATGTCGATGCGTGAGGAGCCGGTGCAGATGTGTGTGGACAGAAAGGGCGGGGGAGGGCCCGGCCTCACTTGGAGTAAGGGGGGGGGCGGTATTGCAGCCCTGCCTGGTGGCATGGGCCTGTGCCAGCATCTCTGGCCAGGGCTGCAGTGAAAACAAAAGTCACCTGCGGGGCGCCTCGATCTGTGCCTGACCCACGTGTCAACCCCAGGGTCAGGCACTGAGCCAAGGGAACCTGTGACAGGGGGCCGTCATTCTGTGTCATGTTTGAACTGGTGCATCTTTTTTTTTACTTTTTCTTTTATTTTTTGGCTTTTTGGGTCACACCCAGCGATGCTCAGGGGTTGCTCCTGGCTCTGCACTCAGGAATTACTCCTGGCGGTGCTCAGGGGACCATATGGGATGGCGGGGATCAAACCGGAGTCTGCTGCGTGCAAGGCAAACGCGCCCTACCTGCTGCTGTACTTTTGATCCCGCCCTGGTGCATCCTTTTACTGCAGAGGCCCCCTGGGCAGCTCTTCTTTGGTATGGCGGGTGAAAACTTGACTCGGCCCAAGGTGAAGTTTGTCTCTTTTCAGGCAACCATTTGGCAGCTCCCCCGACGACCTGCTGTGTCCACATCCCACAGCCGAGTCACCGAGCGACGAGGGGGCGCTTCTGGACCAGCTCTATTTGGCCTTGAGGAATTTCGATGGCCTGGAAGAGATCGACAGAGCCTTGGGAATACCTGAACTGGTCAGCCAGGTACGTGCCACGGGTCACGGGATACGGGATGTCCCATTTTCCACAGCGCGTTCCTTCAGGGGCTTTCTACCTCTTCCCCACAGGCGAGCTTTTCTCATCTCCCCCCCCCCCCCCCCCCCCCGCGCCCTTCTCCCTTTCCCATGAACTTTTACCCAACAGTGGGAAACACTGGATAAGACCTTCACTTAGGGGGTTCTACCAAAAGGAGAGATGGGGTCCTGCCTCCCTGATGTCAGGGAAGAGTCCAGAGGAGCAGGGACCAGAGAAACCAAGGCGGAAGCAATTGTGACCTAGAACCTTTAAAAGGCATCTCTGTGATCACCATGTTACACATTTGTGGGCTGGTGATAGAAGCCATTTGTGCCAAGGCACAACTGTTGTGCCTTGCCCCTGAATTAGCAGGCATGACCTAGAGGTCACGGTAGTTCATGAAACCCTGATGTGGTTTCAGCTTGGTCATCTGGGGAATATTGAAATACAGAAGTAAGCCGACCTTAGATGCTTATTTTACTGTCCTCCTTCTGGTTGGTGACTTAAAAACAATTTTGAGAGTACTTTATTGCAATAATATAATAGGTCGCCATTTCTAATCTAAGGAAATATGCAGTACTTTCTGATTCTGGCTCCAGAGCTAAATTCATGTGAGGTAGGCATCCTGGTTACTGTGCAAAGAGTCGCCCAGAAAACGCTCTCACGGCCCTCTGCCGTCTTCCTCCTTACTCAGCATGAATCATCTTTTCTCTTATTCCTAAAAAGCACCTTCCCGTGTCCGATCTACTTTTTGGACACATGACGCGGCAGGAGGCCTGTGAGAAAGGCAATGCAGAGCCCTGGGCTGCTTCTCCGAGCGTTCAAAATAGTCTCGTCACTGTTCCCACAGCGCAGCAGACAGGAGTGGGCGTTTAAGACATGTCAGTTCATATTGAGAACAGCAGAATGGAAAGAAATGACTTGAGGTTACGGGGTGGGGGAAAAAAAACAACTAGAAATAAATTAAGTAAGGAAAATGGGGTTTAACTATTTCCCATGTGGCTCGTTTGCTTTGCCTTAGTGGTAGATAGAATTTGCCGTCCAGTATGTTGTCATCCTAACTTTTATGTAAGTGACATGTGAAAATGTCATCCTTGGGGGCAAAGAGAGAACTTGGGAGGTTAGGCGCTTGCCTTGCATGCCCGTGGTTAGGTCCCAGCAATGCTCGTGGTGCCCTGAGTGTAAATTAATAACTGGTAATCCTTGGGGTTACAGAGTGACTATAACACTGTTTACAGAAACTGGTGTCGACGATGTGTTTCCATCTCCTTTCTGTTTCTGCGTTTTTCGTTCAGAGCCAAGCCGTAGACCCTGAGCAGTTCTCAAGTCAGGATACCAACCTCCTGCTGGAGCAGAAAACCCCCGTTTTCCCCCAGCAGTACGCATCTCAGGCACAGATGGCCCAGGGCAGCTACACCCCCATGCAGGACCCCAACTTCCATACCATGGGACAGCGGCCCAGCTACGCCACACTCCGCATGCAGCCCAGGCCGGGCCTCAGACCCACCGGCTTGGTGCAGAACCAGCCGAACCAGCTGCGACTCCAGCTGCAGCATCGCCTGCAAGCACAGCAGGTAGGATCTGCCGCGCCGCCTGCAAGGTCCTGCCGAGGCCGGGGTGGGTGGGGGCGGGACAGCTGGGAGAGGCTCAGCAGCCAGGCACAGCAACTGGGACTTTGTCAAGGGTTGGAGTCTTGCTCCACCCCTTCCATAAGCGTCAGAGCTGGAACATTCAGACTCCTCTCTGCTCTCCTTCCTTCTCCCACCTCTAACTCTGCTCCAGCACAGAACAGCTGTCCCTTTGGCTTCCTAGCTGTAGTATTGATTACATCTAACCTTGAACTTTCCGAGCCTCGGTTTTCACATCTGTTATGTGAGACGATTGTGTGTTATGAGGCGATGAAAATATGTTTAAAGGAGCTAGGATAGTTGCTAGCCCAGCCGGAATACTTGGGACAAAATAGTCTTGCCACGCAAAATAAGCATTACTAATTGAAAGGTGGCAGGGAGGGCCGGGGTGATAGTACAGCAGGTAGGGCGTTTGTTTGCCTTGCATGCAGCCAACCCAGGTTCAATCCCCAGCATCCCATATGGTCCCCCAAGCACCACCAGGAGTAATACCTGAGTGCAGAGCCAGGAGTAACCCCTGAGCATCGCTGGGTGTGACCCAAAAAGAAAAAAGAAAGGTGGCAGAAGGACATTTTTTTTTTTTTGAAAGACCAGTATATTTCAGGAAAATGTGTTTTTATCGAAGTCAGCCTGAATCATTTGTATAAATTAGTAAATAATGATGTTGCAGGGGTCAGAGCGATACAGCGGCTAAGGCATTGCCTTAGATGCGGCCAAGCCGGGTTCAATCTCAGGCATCTCATACGGTCTCCTGAGCCCACCAGCAGTGATTCCTGAGTACAGAGTCAGGAGTAACCCCTGAGCATCGCCCAGCATGACCTAAAAACCAAAAATAAAAAAATTTAATTTTTAATAAAATTAATTTTAAAAAATAATGATGTTGCAAGCAGAAGAATGAGTTCCTGCCTCTCTTTCGTGCTTCCTCTAAGCCTTCCTCTTTGGTCTTTCTAGTCCCTTCTTTGCAAACAGTGTGCTTTCCAAAGAGCACAAAATAATTATTCAGCTAGAAGCAATATGAAGCTCACTAACAGGCAACTTGAGAAGGGAATTAAGCTACAAATGGTGGTGTCAGTATCCAGTGGCATGCAAATATTAGTTTGGAGGGGCAGCTTCTCAGAGAAGGTAATTTGAAATAAAATGTGTTCCTTTCCAATGTACTAATTCTCGTGTGTATGCATTTAGAATCGCCAGCCAATTATGAACCAGATCAGCAACGTTTCCAATGTGAACCTGACTCTGAGGGCCGGCGTCCCGACACAGGTAAGAAACAGAATGGCCCCCAGCCCGCATCTCCACTTACCCTGTCCTGCCTTTCGGCGCGATGACCTGTGTAAGGTAACTTAGGAGTCTGTAAGATCCACACCAGCGCCGTGGTGCCATCAAGTCATTCGTTCACCTCATGAGCCGATTGCTTTTGGAGTTCCTTTCTAAACACAGCCACTGCCAAATACAGTCAATTCTCAGTATTCACTTTGGTTGTGTTTTATAGTTTTGCCACAAGCCACTGAATCAGCCAATATTGAACCCTCGCTCCTTGGAGAAATACAGGGTTAGGTTCCTGTGAGCCCCTGGCCTCGACCTTCCTGTCCATTTATCAAGCCATGATTCTGTACTGTGTGGTTCTCGTGACTCCCAGTTTGCTGTACACTGGGGATTCATGGATGTTAAGTGCGGCAGCCGTTTAACTCGTGCCTGAGTGAAGCCCACCTGACAGCGCATGCCTTTTCTCCAGAAGGTGCCTCGCAGCACCTCGCTGGCACTCTTGATGACACTCACTCGACACTGCTCTCAGCAGCCATTTACACCCGAAGAAGCAGCACAGCATAAGCCTCATGGATTTGAATGTATCACAGAGGACCCTTGTTTACCATGTGGGAGCTGGAACAAGAAGGCAGGGAGTCATTTTATTTCACCCTCAGGTGGACAAGTACGCATGAGGCACCTCAAGTTTTTCACCCCTCTGCAGTGTCCTTACATAACAGCAACACTGTGAATACTAGTTTGGGGCACTACAAATTCACAATTTGTAGCAAGTAGACGGGTTTACAAATGCAGAATCCAGGAAGAAAGAGACTCGACTTTGCATATGCAGCCTGTAACAGCCTAGATAGCTAACTTTATATACTATAAAACATGTATACTTCTTTGGGAAGGCAGACACTGTGGGCCTTCCTACCTCATATCCCTCCTTCCTCCCACCCCCGCCTTTCTGATTTTTCCTCCCAGTGCGCGCCTGTCACCCTTGTCTCTCCATTCCACCCCCGGCACCCTCCCTTTCTCCTCCCTCTGTTCACCTTCTCCCGAAGTGCTTCAGGCCACCTTTGGGTAGAGGGATTTGGTTTTCCTTTGGACATTAGTGTCCCTTTGATGACACTGACCTGTCGTCCTCAGGATCTTCTCACGGAGGGACTGGTGGGACACAAGGTTCCTTTAGTTACATGGCTCTCAACCTTTCACACCTGTGGCCTGCAGGGGTCTGCAGACGGGCTCGCATTCTCAGCCACCCGGTTTCAACTTCAACTCTGGATTACTTTTTCCCGTGTAATTGTATTTTTCGGGTCATTTTGCATGGGACAGGCTCTGGTGATGCTGCTTCTGATATGCCATTTATTTTTCATCCTGCCCCTACCCCCAATGTTTTCCTCTGGGTAATTGTCCTCCCCCACCCCCATTTCAGGCACCTATTAATGCACAGATGCTGGCCCAGAGGCAGAGGGAAATCCTGAACCAGCATCTTCGGCAGAGACAAATGCATCAGCAACAGCAAGTTCAGCAACGAACTTTGATGATGAGAGGACAAGGGCTGAACATGACCTCAAGCATGGTGGCTCCTAGTGGCATAGCAGCAACTCTGAGCAACCCCCGGATCCCCCAGGCAAATGCACAGCAGTTCCCATTTCCACCAAACTACGGTACTGGGCTCACATCCCCACCACCTCTCACCAGCCCTTTCTCCCCAGTGTCCCCCAGTCCTGGGTCACAGCTCCTGTCTCACAGCTCTTTGCATGGCTCCCAGATGAATCTGGCTAACCAGGGAATGATAGGAAACCTGGGAGGACAGTGGGGGCCCAGCAGGAGTCCCCAGGTCCAGCACAGTACCTTCCAGTCTCTGAGCTCAGGTACCGCCTTTTCTCTGAGTGCAGGTCTTTACGAATGGCCGAAGGATGCGTGCATGTGTGTCTGAGAGTGTATGCACGTATGTGTTGTTGATGTCTCGATTGCAGGTGCCTGTGTATATATTTATATTTCAGTATCTCGGGAGTCTGACTTAAACAAATCAATAGAGATATGCAGGACGGTCAAAGACACACAGAAATATTATGAGGGGCCACGGAGTGATAGCACAGCAGGTAGCAGGTTGGGCATTTGCTTTGCACACGGCCAACCCAGCATCAGTTCAGTTCCCAGCATCCCAGATGGTCCAACCGAGCACCACCAGGTGTAATTTCTGAGAGCAGAGCCGGGAGTAACCCCTGAGCATCACCAGGTGTGCCTCGCCCAAAACACAGTAATAGTGAAGAAATAAATATTATGGATATTCTACTATTTAAAAATTTTGAAATTATACCTATTTTTTAATGAACAATTCTTGAAACATGCCTATAGAGGCATCATTGAGATAGCAGAGCAGGGAAAGCACTTGCTTTGCGTGCAGCTGACCCTGCCCAGTGCCCGGCTCTGCGTATGGTTTCCTGAGCACTGCCAGGGGAATCCCTGAGCACTGCCCAAAAAAGAAAGAAATCCCAGTGGAAGGCCTCTCAGTTTTTCCTCCATATTGATTTGTTGTTCAATGTCAGTCTTAAGAGACAAATTTGTAAAGTCATAAACAATACTTGTGTGCATGTTGTGTTCAATTAATGGTTGAATTAATGATAAAAGTGCTTATGTTATTAATATTAATATTCAAAATTATATTCAGAATTACTTCCCCTGTCTTTTGCCAGTCACCTATAAGTAACTTTGTCAGGTCTTTCTGATGCTTGAATCCATGTCTCATTTCTTAAAGCGATACTGTTGAGCCATTTTTCTGTGTGATGCTAAACTTTTAAGTATTAGATTTGCATGACTTACACTTCTAGGCAAATAGGTGTGTAATTTAATGCCAAAGTTGAGACATGGTATGAAGTTCCTTCTTAGTTTCCAACGTCTTTCCTCCGTTTTCCTTTTCTTTCCTGTGGATCAAGCCCAGAACCTAGGGCCTGCTAGGAATAGATTTGGTTGCAGACTCACACCCCACCACCTTTATTTCTTTTTAATTATCTGGAAATAGTGACTAACAGCCCTCTCCCATTCTTTTAATGTATATGTGATTTGTTTATAAACTGAGAAAGAAACTTACATTGAATATTATTTTTATCATTCTTGCAAATTTTGGCAAGCATTAAAGTTCCACGGAGTTCCTTGTAAAGACTAGACAAGCTAATGAATACATTTACTTTTTTTTTTTTTTTTTTTTTTTTTATTTATTTATTGAATCACTGTGGGAAAGGTTACAAAGCTTTCAGGTTTATGTCTCAGTCATGCAAATATCAAACACATTTCCCTTTACCAATACTTATTTTTTACCATGAAGAACCCCAATAAAACCCCACCCCCCACCCCTCCCCGTCCCTGTGAAGCAGATGAATTCTAGTTAACACTCTATCTGCTTTGATTAGATTCATTGTTTCAATAAAAGATTCACCACTATTATTTAGAGTTTACCCCCCCCCCCCCAAATCAGACATGCTGAAAAAGCATTGTGAAGTGATTTGCTTTCTACGGCTGAGTTCAAGAATTAAATGTTGGGTTTGGATTTCTGCTCTTTTACCTATTGACCCTGGAAGTATTTCTACTGAAAGTCAGATAGTTAAGAAATTGGTTTCTGTGTTATACATTTACTTTTTTAAAGACTCATTAATCTTATCTAGAATGAGTGAATTCAATGAAAATTTTTCCAAATGAGTTGGCTTTTGATATGTAGTTGAACTTAATCTAATTAAAATTTTAATCATTTGTAGTGATTCATAAAAATTTAGATGACTGAAGTCAAAAAGAAATACGCACATTTGACCCATCCTTGATCTGGAACTGGGTGAAGGAAGGACTGGCTTTTTTTTTTTCTCTCTCTCCCTTAGCCATGATGGTAATTCTGATTCCTCAACGTTCCTCTTCTAGAGAGAATCAAAGAATGGGAGCTTTTTTTCCTTTTTTCCTTTGTGCATTTCATTCTAATTTGGAATCTTTTTTAAATGTATGTAACTGACCAACACATGAATGGGTATTTGAAAGTATGTGTATTTCTGTGCGTGTTTACTTTGGATGTTGTCTGTTTTACCGCCTCCTTCTCCCGTCTCAACAACCAAACTAACAGTTTCCTGTGGATATTGTTCTTTAAGGAATAAGTCAGCAGCCTGACCCAGGCTTTACTGGGGCCACAACACCCCAGAGTCCTCTGATGTCACCCAGAATGGCGCATACGCAGAGCCCGCTGATGCAGCAGACTCAGGCCAACCCCGCCTACCAGGCCTCCTCTGACATGAACGGATGGGCACAGGGGAACATGGGAGGAAACGGGTATGTGCTCTTCTGTCTCCGTGTCATCCGCGTCCAGGAATTCTTCCTATGCGCTGCGTGTCTCTTACCTTTATCCTTCTTAAATGCCATCTCCACTGAGGACTGGAGCAGTAGTAAGTGGATAGAACATTTCCCCTGCAGCCAGCCTGGGTTTAATCCCTGGTACCCCATATGGTCACCAGAGCCGGCCAAGAGTGGTCCCTGAGCACAGAGCTAGGAGTAAGTCCCGAACACTTCCAAGTGTGGCCAAAAAAAAAAAAAATCAAGTAAGTAAGTCAGATGTTAATGAAATTTACATAGTAACTACCTTTTTCTTGGGAGCAAAAGGAACTCTTCCAAGAAGATGTACCACCCGCTCCACCAATATACTAGAAACTACTGTGGATCGATGGTCAGTGACCTCAGAGCCACCCTTTATCCAAACCTGCTACATAAGCAAACAAAAAAAAAGCTCATCCCGTGCAGACATGGAAGGCAGGTAGACTTGCAGACTCGGGGAAGTTAGGAAGAGGAGGTCGTGCTTCCCCATTTGGGGTTGAGCGGCTACTTCTGGCCCCGTCTCCTGGCCTCTGGCCGTTGGTGCTGGGCTCTTTCAACCTAGATTTATGTGCTGACTGCCCGGGGCTTGTCTAAAGCTCTAACCAGCATGTCCTTTTCTTGGATTTTAGCATGTTTTCACAACAGTCCCCACCACACTTCGGGCAGCAAGCAAACACCAGCATGTACAATAACAATATGAACATCAACGTCTCCATGGCGACCAACACAGGTGGGATGAGCAACATGAACCAGATGACCGGACAGATCAGCATGACCTCAGTGACCTCCGTGCCTACGTCGGGGCTATCCTCTATGGGTCCCGAGCAGGTAAAGCTCCCATTGGCATCTTGTGGCTTAAATGTCGAGCACTGGGGCCAGAGAGATCAGACAGGGGGTAAGGTGCTTGCCTTGCACTCAGCCGTGCCCCGTTTGATCCCCAGTACCTGATCGCATCCACTGAGCACAGCCATGTGTGACCTCAAAGCCAAACACACACACACACACACACACACACACACACACACACGGAACATTTTCATGAACTGGTGTCGTTGGGCCACACTCATCTCTGTCATTTCGATTTTGCTGTCTGTGCTGCTTCAAGCAGGCACGGCCCACTGTCTTCTCATTAGAGCGTTTTGTCTATTTTTGTGTCAGATGTAGCTTTTCAAGCATTTAACATCTTCCGTCAACTCCCACGTTTATTTTGAACCGTGTTTTTTTCACCTTACTTTCACCTGTGATAGAACAATTAACAGAAATACTTGTTAATGACGAAGTAAACATGGAAGAGTTCCTGACTGTTCAAGGACTTTTAAAAATATTTCACTTCACTCTCATTTACGTTTTTCTTTATGTAAAGAATTGAGCAATATCTAAAAAGTCTCCAAAAATGCAATGGTAAATGCTTTATTGTTTAGTTTTGAGTTTGTAGTTTAGAAACTGATTTTTTTTTCTAAATGTAAAGCCAAGATGAAATGCAGAAGCCAAACTATCTGCTCTGAAGTTCACTTTAAATGATACTTCACACTTACAAAGACTCACTCATTCCAAAACAGTTATTTTCATTCAGGGGATTTGGATGCCGTAGTTGTTTTTTGGAGAGCGAGGGGGATTTCCTGTTACATAGTTTTCAATTATCCTGTTCTGTATTGAATGCCATTAAAATAATTCTACCATTCCCAAATACATTCCCAAATACATGCTTCATTTGGTGACAAAGAGATGTAAAGCATTTGACATCTCTGGAATAAGCCTAGTAGTCATGGCAGAGTCTCTGTTTAACTGATCCTGAACTAAAAATACTAGCATAATAATTTTTTTAAATATGTTTCCATGAGATAGATCAAACCCAGGCCCTTCCACAGGGGAGATTTGCACTTCTCTACCGCTGGGCGGTATCAGCACGCATTTTCACTTTTTGTTTGTTTTGCTTTGGGGCCTCAGCCAGTGGTGCTTAGGGGCTACTCCTATGTCTGTGCTCAGAGGATGCTGCCGTGTTAGGGATCAGACCCAGGCCTCCTGCATGTGAAGTATACACTTAGCCTGTTTCTGTCTTCTCTGCTCCCAGAAGGTAATATGTTTAAAGGACACAGAATGCTTGGCATGCTACAAAATATAGATGGGCTGGAATCCTGAATCTCATTTCAGGTGTGGAGGTAGTATTCTGCAAAGTTTAAATGATTCACCCATTTGGCTGAATAATAATTCAGTTCTAATAATAATATTAAGTTCTAATAATTCAGTTAGATCATAATTTTGATCTCAATAAAGTTTAAACATTTGACTATAAATAAAATACCTCTCGTGTGGGATATACAGAAACATGGTAATAGACCAAGTGCCCAAAGTCATCAGAAGTGGAGATTTTGTCTGCAAAATGGAGCTTACAGGGGCTGGAGAGAGAGTAGAGCGGCTAAGGTGCTTGCTCTGCACGAGACTGACCTGAGTTCGATCCCAATCATCTCACTGCTGAGTGCAGAGCCAAGAATAACCCCTGAGCATCACCAGGTGTGGCCCAAAAGTAAAAAAAGAAAAACATAAAAACCAGCCTTCAAGAGAGGGCTGTTGCTGGGGCAGTTGGAGGGTGTTGGGGGAAGCGGGAGTCTAGTGTTGGGTGTGATGTTGGAATCGTGTATGCAGAGTGTAATGAACAGCATCGTGGGTCCTGGGACCGCAACAAAAATGGTAAAAAGAAGCAAAATAAATAAGTCTGATTGGGTCTGTTTAATCCTGAATATTTTTTATACCATGGTGTGCATCAAAATTTCCAAAATTTTTGGGGCTGGAGAGATAGCACAGCAGGTAGGGCGTTTGCCTTGCACGCGGCCGACCCGGGTTCGATTCCCAGCATCCCATATGGTCCCCTGAGCACCGCCAGGAGTAACTCCTGAGTGCAGAGCCAGGAGTAACCCCTGTGCATTTGCCGGGTGTGACCCAAAAAGCAAAAAGCAAAAAAAAATCCAAAATTGTACAGTACCCAATGTTTTGTTTTTAAAAAGGAAATTTTTTCCAAACAGGAGTGTTAGGTGAGAAATCTCAAGTCCTTTTCAATCTAAAGTCCTTTTAAAGGTGAGAAATCTAAAATCCTTTTCAACTTACCAAAGAGCCATGTGTATGTACATGTACAATTTGTATTTCTATTATTGAATCAACTGATGAATGCTAATGACTCACAGGTAAATTAAATAGACAAAAATTTTTAAACGACAGACATCTTTTTCAGGGGAAAAAATGTATTTTCTTCCTGCTGAATTTTCAAGCAAAAATTCTGTGCTTGAAACAATTGTAGTGGATCCCAGTTTGGTTGTAGTGGATCCCAGTTTGCTTTCAGGTGCACAAAGGACCATTGGGATAATCTGAACCAGTGTTCCACTATTATTTTTTGACCATGCCCTCTCCCCCCCCACCCATCCAGCCCCACCATTTGCTTATACAACTTTTGCTCATGACTCGTTGGAATATTCTGGGGGACTGTTGGAATATTCTGGGGCTGCCAGTTGAGAAACACTGGTCTAGATTAGCGTGTGTCCTAGTCAGCTTACCTAGAAATAAATGGCTATTGTTTCGTGCATCCATATAGCAGTGCTCGGAGGACCATGTGGGGTGAGGAAGTGAACAGTCCTCCCCTTTGGCAAAGTAGGAACTCCAACTCTCCAAATCGCCTCCCAGTCCCTAAGTTAGTACAGTCTTGGCAATCCATATTGCTCTAAAACTTTTAACTTAGAAACTAAAATTGGCAGGTTAAATTTAAGGGTGATGAATTTTTGTAGCCATTTCTACCTTGCCTTCTTTCCCCTCCTGCCTCCCAAAAACGAAGAAAGGAAAGCTTAATGGTTGGTTGTTTCCCAGTTCACTGTGCACATGCCGCTCACTACAGCTGCTGTTCTGTCGTGCTCGTAGGTGAATGACCCTGCCCTGAGGGGAGGCAACCTTTTCCCCAACCAGCTGCCTGGAATGGATATGATTAAGCAGGAGGGAGATGCATCACGGGTAAGAAATACAGAAAGTGAAAATGAGCGTTTTTATAGCCTAGAATGGGTAGACACATTGCAATCTCATAGACGGAAGACTGCTTAAATGCTCGCGATTTTTAAAAATACCCTCTCATTTTACGTGACAGAGTGGTTTTGGATGAATGATCCTTTCTTTAAACTCATTTTAACAAAGCTTTTGGCACATGTGAGTTAAGAACACTGATTTTTTTTTGCCCTGAAATGATGTTAGAGTACAGCAAACAGGAAAGTAGCAGTGAATTTGTCATGTTAAGGCAAACTTTGATTTATTTTTGCTTTTTATGAACCATCATATTAGATTCTTCAGGAGGAAGGAGAGGAACTACAATTGCTCCCTCTCCTTTTATTAAGTCTATATTTTTCCCTCGGTGTTTTTCAAGATTTTTTCTTTTGCCTAGAAAATGTTTGTTTATTTCCTTAGACAATAAGTAAGACAATAAGCAAATAATAAGACAGTATTGTTCCAAAAGGACAGCTATTATGATGTCCAACCAAGCTTAGAAACAGTAGAATAATTAGTGCTTGGCATGGGCTGACCCGTGTGCCCAGCAGAACTTTCCCAGAGAGCTTTTGTGAGCAGGTCAGCGTGTAGGTAATCAATTGGCCTGCAGAGACCTCTCTAGGGTAGTGATCGAAGTCTTGGCAGAAGTGAACCCTGTTAAGAAAGTCCCCTTGTTTTGTCTTCTTCCAACACCATATCTTGGAGTTCCAACCATGTTGCAGCAATTTGCAATACCCCTCTGCCTACTTTTAACACTCAGTTCTTGTCCAGTGTGATCGTTCCCAGCTATAGTTGTTTAGAGAAGAGCCCAGTATGACAATAATTCCAATCCCTTTAAACTTCCATTCGAGGCACATGGAGTATAAACACATAGTCCATCTGAAACGCACTCCATTGGTGTCTGACTCACTACAGCAGTGTTGACCGTTCCAGTGGCCTGTGTGTCTGGGCACACGCAGTGACAGCTGTGAGCCTCCCACCCTACTCACGAGCCTGTGGGTCTTTAAACAAGGACATCCACACACAGGAAAGTCACATTAGGCCACTAACATTGGGGGGGGGGGGGGACTTACAGAAAAAGGGGGAGGGATGCAGCACCTCAGAGAGGCGGGAAACCCTAGACTGAGCCAGTTCATCCCCAGAGCTAGTACTGGCCCCCGTGGAAAGGGGAAGGGGGGTCGGGTGGGTGGACAGGCCCGAGGCCTTCCTTTCTGCGTGCCCATGCGAAGCACCCACTAAACCCCAAATGGACCATTAGCACGAGACTCACAGAAGCACCATCGGAGCCTCGGGGTGTTTGCCGTCTGGGTGGCCCTTTGGGAGTCGACAGTGGCTATGGCCGTGCCCACTTCTCACTTGTTTAGGCTCTCCAGTCCCCCTTATGAATCTGTTTATCCTTGCACACCTTCACGCCAGAGAACAGGCTGTCACAAACCCCAGTGGCCTGCTTCGGGGGCTGTGAGCACTGTCCCTTCTAAGCCGGGAGGACAGAGGGCTTTGCCTTTGTCACAGCCACATGCAGGGGGCAGCCCATCTTACCGCCGCTGAGCTCATCAGCCAGGACTTTCTCCCGAGTGTTTATCGGCGACCCTATTCTGCTCACCGAACTGTGACCTTTCATTAGTTTAAGTAGGACTTCCTTTATCTGGAAATGGAGATTAACATCGTACCTTGCTTTTAAACAGAGCTAGTAAATATAAATACAGTAGCAAATTTGCCGGAAGACTGGACAAGGGCAGGTTAAAATTTTTTTCCATTTCCAAGGGTATATTACAGAATTCTTTTTCATTTTACATCTTCTGAAATATTAGAATGGACATCACTGCTCAGTCACGTGACTGTCGCACAAAGTAGAGTTCTACTTGTATTTACTAACATTATAATATTGAAAAAACTGATCACTGATTACAGTCAGCATGTTTTTTGTTTGTTTTGGAGCAATACCTGGCCGTGCTCCGGGCTTCCTCCCAGCTGTGCTCAGGGATCACTCCTGGTGTTGCTCAGGGGGCCATCTGGGGTGCCAGGAATCAAATCTGGGTCAGCTATATGCAAGGCAAGTGCCTTAACCGCTGTACTGTTTCTCCGGTCGAGCTCAGACCAGCTCTGAGCTGATGAGATTGTTGTCTTTGACTGATAACATACTATCTTCTGGAAACATGTTGAACACTTTATAAACACCTTTTATGTTCGCAGCAGGACTGAGAAACATTAAACTCAGGCAGGTGAGACATCTCCCCCGCTCCTAACGTGACACGGCCCGGTGGCCAAGTCAGACAGGGTCATTCCATGGTCGACTTTGACCAGACTGAGTCCCACAGCTTAGGATCCACTGGGTCGCCCCCATAACGTAATTCCATTGCCCTCCCTTGCAAACTGAGTGACAGACAGTAGGAATAGATAGATTTTTCAGACCTTTATAGCCAAGTTACATCAAATGTTTTTCTCTCAGAGGAAATTTAATCACATTCTCCTAAGCTAATTTTTGTGGAGGCCTACCCCCCGTGGTGTTCAGGATTTATGTATGCCTGGCTCTGGGCTCGGGGATCACTCCTGACAGTGCTCAAGGACGATCCTAGAGTTGGAAGGAATCCTACGGGCCAACCATGGGTGAGGCAAGTGCCCTACCCACTGCGCTGCTGCTCCAGCCTTGTTAATATTTGTAAATGAATAAACATGTTGGGGAGGGGAAGGGATCATCCCCAAAAAAGCCAAAGAAAAGAATCAACATATCATACCTGCACAGCGAAAGATACCCAAACGCCTCCACCACTTACCCACTGTGGCCTCAGCGTCCACTCGTCCAGGTGGCGATGCAGAGCAGCCAGGAAGACGAAAACCCTGCACACCCACCCTGTGTCTCTTGGCTTGCTGCCGCCAGGGCAGATACCCCCAGAGTGTCTCAGGGAGACTATAGAAGAACGTCTGGTGAGAGTATCTAGTCTAAAGTGATGCTCAGTGATATTGAGGAAGGATTCAGAAAGTGATGTCCACTTCCATTTTAGGGGCTGTCAGAGAGCCAGGGCAGGTCAGCAGCTGGGTAGTTCAGTGGTGTCTGTTGGGCAGGTGGAAGGATTGAATGGGGCAGTGGAGTCCTTTGGGAGACACACCGGGAACCGTTCCATCTTGTCCTTCACGGCAGTGCCTTGACCCTGCTGGCCTAGGAATCAATGCTGATCCCTTGGGACCGGTGCTGTCTGCTTGTGTTCATCCAAACCAGGCACCACTCATCCCAAAAACAGCCCTGGTGGCCAGGCCTTATTTCAGACAGCCACATATTTGGATGTTTTAGTTGTGGGTTGGGCTGGAGCAAGAGCACAGTGGGTAGGGCGTTTGCCTTGCACACGGCCGACCCAGGTTTGATTGTTCCATCCCTCTCAGAGAGTCTGGCAAGCTACTGAGAGTATCCGCCCGCATGGCAGAGCCTGGCAAGCTCCCAGTGGCGTATTCGATATGCCAAAAGCAGTCACAAGTCTCACAATGGAGACGTTACTGCTGCCCGCTCGAGCAAATCAATGAACAATGGGAGGACAATGCTACAGTGCAGTGCTAGTTGTGGGTTCAGCGACAGTTCAGAAACACTCAGAAACCTTATGCAACGCTCTCTTTTCCCGCAGAAGTACTGCTGACGCTGAAGGCGGCTGGTTGCTTCTTACTTAGCTGACTGGGCTCACTTGCTCAAAACACTTACCCGTCTGGAGAGCTGCGTCCATTTGTTTTGACCCAACTGATCTGCCAGCCAGTTCTGCCTGAGCAAGATCCACGGAGGGGCCTGGGCCCTTGGCTCCCAGGCGGAGCCAAGCGGCCGTTCCCGGAGGAGCTGCCTCTCCTCGCCACAGTCTGAAGCTCGCGTCCAGACCGTCTCAGTCTGTTCACTGCATTCACCTTAGTGCAACTTAGATCTCTCCTGCAAAGTAAATGTCGACAGGCAAATTTCATACCCATGTCAGATTGAATGTATTTAAATGTATGTATTTAAGGAAAACAACCATGCTCTTGTTCTGTTCCTGTTTGGTTCCAGACACTGGTTTCTTGCTTTGTTTTTTTTTTTTTTTTCCCCTGGCTACTCAGTCTAGCGCAAACAATTAAGAATTTCATCTGGGGGAAAGAAAAGAGGGATTTTATTATTATTAATTATTATTATTTAAAGGCAAAAGCTAAAGGTCTTTCCAGCTGACGCCTGCATCTGGGATGGAAGCAAGGCCGACACCATGGACAATGCAGTTCGAAGACCAGGAAAGTCACGCGTGTATCTCGTGTATCTCATGTATCTCGTAGGAAGCTCAAAACATTGGGAAGAATTTACAGTCACTGCGAAGGCGAAGTAGCCTGTGAGAGGGCTACTAATGTTGACAAGTACTTTGTTCCCTTTTTATTCTCTGTTAAAACCAAACTAGTTGGCCCAGTTGTGAATCAAGAAGAAATGGTTTTTTGTTTCCAAGTGATGCTCTTGTTTCCAAGTGATGCTCTTTCCATTGTTCAGACAGCTTTGGACCCCATCTCTTCCCGTCTAACCCTGACACTCCCCGCCGCCGCCTCTCTCCTCCCCACTTCTTCCCGACTTCATTCATTTGTTACAAAATAATGTAAGCAAGAGAAACCAGGTAAACCCTTGATTTCCTTATGTGCTTTGCCAGCCACTTAACACTCGCTATTAAATTTCAGAAAAAAATTTTAAAAAGTGCATTTACTGGCAAGGAGAGGAGAAAGTTAGGACTTGCTACTAATCCAACTAAGGAAGCCTGCTTTGGAAGCATGTTCATTGTGCCCCCCCCCCCAGCCCCCCAGCAACACTGGCCCACAAAATGGGAGAAAATAATACTGCATTTCAAATTGACCGCAGATATCACGACAGATTTAACTCTGCCATGTGTTTTTATTTTGTTTTTTAGCAGTGCTGACTAAGCCGACGTTTTGTAAGGTACATAAACTCCAATTTCTATGTAAACAAGCAATAATTTAAGTTGAGAACTTAAGTGTTTTAATTGTATAATTTTTGTGAGGTATACATATTGTGGAATTGACTCAAAAATGAGGTACTTCAGTATTAAATTAGATATATTCATAGCAATGTCTCCTAAAGGTGTTTTGTAAAGCATATCAAGGCCTTGATTAGACCTAATTTGTAGACTTAAGACTTTTTATTTTCTAAACCTTGTGATTCTGCTCATAAATCATTTATGTAATCTATATGATATGCAGCCACTGTAGGAACCAATTCTTGATTTTTATATGTTTATATTCTTTCTTAACGAACCTTAGAAAGACTACATGTTACTAAGCAGGCCACTTTTAGGGTTGTTTTTCTTGCCCACTCTGGTAGGGGATAATCTTTTATGATTATTGGCATCAGTTTCGGACAACAGCAATACCAAGAAACTGAATGCCTTTTTTGAACTATTTCTCTCCCACCCCAAACACGTACTTTCTTACCTAAATTTCAGAATGATGTCCTTTTGATGTCTAAAACGCAAAGCATTTTCTATCTCATCAGCCAGGCCTTTTAGGAACAGAGAGGTTTTCCCTTGAAATCTGGTTGTGTATTTGTGGCAGGGTAAAGATAAGTGTAAAAACAACCCCTATTTATATTTATATCTCTCTCTATATGTACAGATGATGGAAGTATAGGAAGAGATATAGCCCAAAGATCAGTGGTAAGTAGACAGTCTCGTAGTGCTGCTCCACACTAAAGAAACGTTCGGGAAATTTGCATTTCGGTACTTCTTCCACTTGAGAGGGCTCATACTACAGGGAGGTGGCCGAGGAACAGCACCTCTCAGTGGCCACCAGCTCACATGTCCCCCTCAGAAGGCTCTACTTTCTCTCAACCAAAATATTGGGTTGCCCAAATGTGATGGAAAACACGAGCAGATGTTGGCCCAGAACTCCATAGCCTCAGAGTTAGGTGAGGTTTGCGTTACACCGATTTAACGTGACCCTGATAATGTTTCAGCTGATTTTCAGAAACCCGAGCATTCGGATGACTCTTAAGTTCACACAGCACAAGAGAGAAACGAAAATTAGACTGGATTTGTTTTACTGAGTTTTAAATCCCTTTTCACGCTAACACTGCCCCCAAATGCCTGTGTGTGTGTGTGTTTCATTTTGGTTTTTTTTTTTGTTACTGTTTCTGGTTTTTTATCATTTGTCCCACTGCCCACTGTGTTTTAATGTCAGTCCCAACTCAGAAATCTGCAAGCCAGCGACACTGGTTGTTTGGGATTATTCATGATCGTTACTGTTTTGAAGGAAAGGAGGTTATAAATTCTCTTATGGCTCAGATCAGGTAATGGATTTTGCTTTGCATCTAATTAAGAGAAGAAAAGTAAGTGAAGGAAACCTCTGATCATATTGATCACTATAGAAGCAAAAGCCAAATCAATGCCCTTCATGATCAGTATTTCTCATGCTCTACACAGTGAATTTGTTAGGATGAGTACTTGGTTTTTGTTTAATAGAACAAATAATCAGTGTTTTACTTATATTACTAAATGTGAAAAACATAATGTGAAAAGTATACATACATTAACTTGGTTGTAAAACTCATTTACACGTTCATGTAATGTGGTAAGTTTAAAAAGTGAAGTGAGCTGTTTTACTATAATGAATTCGTTTGACTCGAAGATTAAAAATGCCCCGTCCCACGTGTATCTCTTATGGCTTGTAATAATTGAAAGCAATGTTTTTGCAGTTTATATAATGCAGTTTTTAATCTGTGTTTAAAAATGGAGTTCATATGGGCTTAACACATGAAATGGGTGGCACAGATCCACTTGCAGAACCCAAAGATACACAATCAATTTTGAAATGCAACTTAAGCCATTAATTGTTGGTGTGAATTTAAAATTTTCTAGTATTTGTATGGTAGTGTGCTGCCTAAGAGCAAAGCATTCTCTGCACAAAAGAAAATTACTGTAGTGGCTTCAATTTTAATTAGAATTTTCTCCCTGGTGTTTCTTTATAGACTAAAACAAAATCTTTTAAGTTTCTTACTACAGGTAAAAGCTATGTGCAAGAACCTCAAAATGCTAAAATCTAGCATAATGCCTTAGATCTGTTTTTAAGTCTTGTATATTCCTACATAGCTGTCCGATGTATTATATTTGTATAGTGAATTGTGTACAATTTTTGAATAAGTGCATCATCACTTAACCTTTATGTTGTTGAATAGTGATGATGATACATTTCTTCAAACATTTAACTGTCTTTTTTTTTTCCTTTGTCATTTGTGGGTTTTATTTGTACAGTTCCTCATGAAGTTGCATCTGAGATGTGTGTATATGAAAAGATTATACAAGGGTAAAATTAAGCAATATATTAACTATGGTTCTTCAGGAGAAAGCTTACAGTGTTTCAGGTTGTGATTTATTTTCAAAATGGAGTTGACTCTGAACATCACTTTGTTCACCTGCATTGATGTTTGTATTTGTAGTGTGAGCAGTTTATGCAAAGGTAGATATATTCAGAGAAATTTTAAATACATTTATGCAAGTTAATATTGCTTTGCTGATGCTATTTGCTTATTTGATGTTAAATAATGCTATTGTAAATAAAGAATTCTGTTGTTATTGCATCATTTAATAAATTTTAATGCCTTCGGGTTTTACATGGCCTTGGAGATTTTAATGTGTTCCTATTGTATCATCATTTATAACTGCACTTAATACCTGATTTATAATTTATACTTTCCTTCATTTGTTTGGTAGTTGGTATTGTGAAAAACATTGTAAGATTTTATTTTCCCGATGACCCATTTCACAGATTTTAAGTTTGAAGCCAAAAGGTGTATGTGTTTTGTTTGAGATTAACAACTTCGAGGATAAGTCGAAGTCAGCTAAGTATTTTAAATCTCATTATCTCATTATTCACGTCTCATTCCCTTTCTCCAAAACATTTTTGAGAGTAATGGTAACCTCTGACTGGCTTATTGCACTACACTGCACTGTCCTCCCAGTGTTCATCGATTTGCTCGAGCGGATACATCTCACAACAGTAACATCTCACAACAAATTGTGAGACTTGTTGTAAGGTTATTAATCACAAGTTGGAATATCTGTGATGGTTTTAATATATTGATTTGATAATCTTTGACAAACAATGTCAATTGCCTTAAAATCCAAGTTATACACAAGAAACACGAGTAATTACAACCTAAAAAATGAATTTGGGTAGAGGGGCCACACCCAGGGGTACTCAGGGCTTACTCCTGGCTCTGCGCTGAGGGGTCACCTCCTATCAGGTATCTGGGTACCTGGGATCAAACCTGGGTTGACCATGTGCAAGGCAGGTAACCTACCTACTAAACTATTGCTCTGGCCCCTAAAATGGAATTTTTTAACACAAAAACAAAATGTGGGAAAAACAAAATAGACAATGCCATTTGCCAAATTTGCATAGAATAAAATAAATGGTAAGAAATACGTGGTAATACTATTGCAATTAGAAAAGGTAAACTGAGGGCTGGAGCAATAGTACAGCAGATAGGGCATTTGCCTTGCACACAGACAACCCAATTCAATCTTCGGCATCCCATATGGTCCTCCCAAACACTGCCAGGAGTAATTACTGAATTCAGAGCCAGAAGTAACCCCTGAGAGCATCGCTGGGTGTGACCCAAAAAGCAAAGCAAAAAATAAAGGTAAAAAATTCTCAGATAATTTGACCATCCAAAAGGATGATGCAAATTTACTAGCACAAGTTCAATCATTTGACTAACATACACAACAGTGTGGATAAACATTTCTATCCACATGAATAGGCGATATTTGTAGTTCTCATTTGCAATAACAAAATAATGGGATGCTTACAAAATGGTTCTACCTCACACAGAGTGAGAAAAACTTTTGAAGAAAACTGGTTTTACCGAGATGAAAAAACAAGAACATGCCATAACCCTAAAACATGGACAATTCTCCCAACTCAGAACAACCTCAGTCAAAATACAAAAATGAAGAGGCTGGAGAGAGAATCGTACAGGGAACTGGGCACTTGCCTTACGTGTAGCCAGTGCAGGCTCAATCCCCCTCTCAGCACATGTGGCCCCAAGCTTTACTAGGATGAGCAGGACTGCGTGTGCGTGCGGAGGGAGGGGAGAATACAAAAGTTAAAGTACACCAGAAAGGTAAGATGTACAATCGAAATTTGAAGGGGAGAAAAAAGTGAAAAAGTGTGTGCCTTCTAAAACAAAAATTTAGGGCTGGAGCAATAGCACAGCAGGTAGGGCATTTGCCTTGCACGTGGCCGACCCGGGTTCAATTCCCAGCATCCCATATGGTCCCCTGAGCACCGCCAGGGGTAATTCCTGAGTGTAGAGCCAGGAGTGACCCCTGTGCATTGCCGGGTGTGACCCAAAGGGAAAAAAAATCCGAAAATATGAAGTAACGGCCAGAGATAGTAAGGTGCTTAGCTTGCCTGTGGCCGACCCCAGTCCAGTACCTGGAACTACATCAGGTCTCCAGGAGAGCCCCTGATCACAAAGCCAGGAGCAAGCCCTGAACACCAGACGGTGTGTCCTGGCCAGGCCCCGGGGTGGGGGGTGGGGAGATAGACCACACTGGAGGGGGACACAGGATATCCATACACTGGTGTGATGAACAAATGAAACTCTAGAAGTCTGCAAAATAGGCAGACCAATAAAAAAGTGTATGGTAACTTGAGATCTCAGGGAATATGACAGCGCAAAGGGAGAAGAACTTTCCAGAATCCAGTCTCGGGGGCCAGAGTGATACTACCATGGTTACTACCATGGATACCTGCCTTGCACACGGCTCAGCTGGTTTTGATCCTGGCAACCCATCTGGTCCCCAAAGCTCTGCCAGGAGTAATCCCTGAGTACAGAGCCAGAAGTAAGCCCTAGACACCACTGGGTGTGGCCCCCAGACAAAACAATCTCACCAAAGATGAGATTGAACAATTCCATCACACTAGTGAGTCAAGTTTAAAGTAACTCACAGCGGCAGAAGGCGCACTTCCACCTCTCAGTCTTTCTGCCTGCTCCCCCAACGTCCCAGAAGGCACACCACTGAACCATGTCCGTAGAGAAACAGCCCAGGCCCAGGCGGCAGTCGTCTTGGTGGGACACAGGTGGCGAGGTGGTTGGCTCAGCAGGGACCCTGGGGAAGAAGAAAGGGAGGCGGGAAGCGCACAGTGGCTGAGTCTTGGATCCAGGAGCTCGGAGAGGAGAGATCCACAGTGCCCAGGACGCAGGCCGCCACAGTACCACGCCTGCCACAGCCTACATCAGCGTTCTTCAGTCGCAGGTTCCCCTGCCGCGCTGGTCGGCAGGTGTAGAAAGCTGAAAACCACTGGTCAGCTGCCTCGGTCAGAACGGCGAGATGCGTGCTGAAAGTAGACTATAGACCGAACACGAAGGCCACTCAATACCTCTGTTGCAAAACACAACACCCTAAAAGAAAGAGTGAGCAAAATGGAACGCGCTACCACAGAGGTGGGGCTGTGGGGGGCGTGGGGGGTGGGTGGGAGGGATACTGGGATCATTGGTGGTGGAGAATGAGCACTGGTGGAGGGATGGGTACTCGATCATTGTATAACTGAAACCCAAGCACAAAAATGTGTAAGTCTACAACTGTACCTCATGGTGTTTCACTAATAAAAATAAATAAATAAATAAATAAATAAAGAGAAAATAACGGCTGCTTCCACAAAAGGAGAGAGAGCGAGAAAGTGCCTCCCATAGAGGGAGGCTGGGGGTGGGGTGTGTTGGGGGATGGTGGGAGGGAAACAGGGGACACTGATGGTGGGAAATGTATACTGGTGGAGGGATGGGTGCTGGATCACTGTATGACTGAAACCCAATTATGAATAGATTTGTAATAAACTATCCCAGATATTCACTTTAAAAAAAATTTTAAGTAATGTGGAGTTCATGCACCATTCAATAAACTTAATCAATGGCTGAATAAATAGCAGTACTTCTACACTTAAAAAAAATACCAAAAAAAATGCTGCCCATCAAAAAATGGGGGGAGGAAATGAACAGAAACTTTGGCAAAGAAGAAATCTGAATGGCAAAAAGACACATGAGAAAATGCTCTACATCACTAATCATCAGGGAGATGCAGATCAAAACCACAATGAGATATCATTTCACACCACAGAGACTGACCCACATCCACAAGAACAAAAGCAACCAGTGCTGGCGCGGATGTGGCGAGAAAGGGACCCTCCTTCACTGTTGGTGGGAATGCTGACTGTTTCAGCCCTTTTGGAAAACAGTATGGACAATTCTCAAAAAAATTAGAATTTGATCTCCCATTTGACCCAGAATATATCCCAGAGAGGCAAAAAAGTATAGTCGAAGTGACATCTGCACTTGTTTGTTCATTGCAGCACTGTTTAGAATAGCCAGAATCTAGAAAAAACCTGAGTGCCCAAGAACAGATGACTGGTTAAAGAAACTGGTACATTTACACAATGGAGTACTATGTAGCTGTTAGAAAAGATGAAGTCATGAAATTTACATACAAGTGGTACTACATGGAAAGTATCATGTTAAGCGAAATTAGTCAGAAAGAACAGGATAGACATAGAAGATTGCATTCATCTGGGGAACATAAAGTAACAAAATGGGAGACTAACACCCAGGAGTGGCTGAGATTAGTACCAGGAATTTTGCTCCATGACTTGGAGGCCAGCCACGTGTGTTAGGGGAAAGGCAGCTCAGATAGAGAAGAGAGCACCAAATAAAGGGTGTTGGGAGGATCCTCCCAGGATGGAAGAAGCATGCTGAAAGTAGACTATAGATCAAACATGATTGCCACTCAATGCCTCTCTTGCAAGCCACAGGACCCAAAAGGAGAGAGAGAGAGAGAGAACAAAAGGGAATGCCCTGCCACAGAGGCAGGGTGGGATGGGGGGACGGGGGAGGGGGGTGGGGTGGGAGGGATGCTGGGGCCCGTGGTGGTGGAGGATGGGCACTGGTGGAGGGATGGGTACTTGATCATTGTATAACTGAAACCCAAGCACAAAAATTTGTAAGTCTATAACTATACCTCATGGTGTTTCACTAATAAAAAATAAATATATATATAAATAAATAAATAAATTACCAAAAAAAAAAAAAAACGCTGCTCCCTGCCCCCCTCCCCCCTCTCGTGCCAGGGTGTGGGCGGGATCTTCACATGTATAAAAGATTGAAGAGCGCGAAGGCTGCAATGCCTCAAAAATGAGGCCACAGCACCACCTGCTGGAAAATAAGAAATAGCAGTCAACTGTCTGAAGAAATGAAAAATCAGGAAAGCAATTATTTTTACTCATTTTTTTTCTTTTGGTTTGGGGGCCACACCCGGTGATCTTCAGGGGCTACTCCTGAACTCTGTGTACAGAAATAACACCTTGGGGTGCTCAGGGAATCATGGACTGTGCTGAGGATTTGAACAAGGTTGATTTCAAGGCAAGCAACTTACCTCTGTTTTCTTTCTCTCTGACCCCAGCAATGATTCTTTAAAATTCTGCAAAAGAGGAGCCAGCTCAGAGGGCTGGAGTGCATGACTTACATGCAGCTGCCCCCGGTTTGAGATTGTCCTTGAGCACTATCAGGGGAACCTTGAAACAAAAAGAAAATTATGCAAATAAACTATTGAAATT